ACCTCCACCATTCAGATACCTAAGATCAGCGCAATATAGATATAATCTATCTATATGGCGCTGGCTAAGATAAGATAACTTTAACAAGATGCCTGTGTGCTTAGTACCAGGTTGTTATTATACCAGCAATGGGTCTTGCTCGTTCTTTTGCTTCCCGTCTGATGAAACGACCAGGAGTGGCTTGATCAAGTTAAAGAGCTCTCATGAGCTCTCATGAACTAAAGTTCTCATGAACTACTGTGGGAAAAGTACTTGGTGTGAACGCCCCTATTGGTCTCTATCCGCAGCCGGAGAAGAAACGAGTGCTCAGGGACCGTCTGCAAAGTGCAACTCCGAAAAAAGAGAATACAATCATATTCAATCACTATTATACAGCTTATTACTACCAAACTCACTACACACATCAATAGTCTCCTGGTGGTCATACTACAGCAGAGAGTTTTGAAGAATATGCTTTTGAATAATTTTGGGGAATATTTATAATGTAAATCTTCAATAAATATGGCATCATCTTCAATAACTTTACTATTATACAGTATATTTCTACCAAACTCACTATTTGCATTGTTGTTGTTAGCATCTGGTTAGCTAGCTGCGCTAACGGATATTAGAAGCTGTTTCTAAAACAATGAGAGGGAGAGCTCTCTCCTGTCAGACTGAGAGAGATAACTACAGCTCAGTGAGGTAAGGGACTCTCTGAGTGTTTAGATAGTTAACTTTAGTCCAGTTATCTCAACAAAAAAAAAACCCACTCCCTGTGTTTCACCAAGATGATCCAACTTTGTATCTGTTACTGTTGCTCTTTTTTCTTTTCCTGCGCTCTCTCTCAAGGGCTTTTTCCTCTGGCTTTCCAAGTTCCTCTTGCCCTTCTCTTGTTTTTTTTGGAAAACTTTATTTTAAATTGTTTGAGCAATAGGCCTACATAACACACATTGATAAACAATACACAAAACACACAATGCATAAATATATATAAATAACCTAAACAGAGAGCAGAACGTTTATAGACTCAGTTCGGTCACAGACTGGCTGAGTCTGTGATTTGTCCAGGGATCTTCTTCTTCTTAATTCGGTAAGTATTTGTTTCACGATGGTGTCACTGTTTATTATTGTCTGATTTAATATAATCTTGCATCTCGTTTTCCAGATCTGCATACACGTGATTCAAATTCTTGCCCTTCTCCTTGTCTCGCCTTGCCCTCTCCTTTACTCCTCTAATTGTGTTCCATTAGCTTCTCTTCTCTTTCCCTTTCTTTTTAATTTCCTGTAATTTACCACGCTAAAAAGTCATTATTGCCTTGAAAACATGAACATCTTCAGGTTTTAAAATAACTAGAACGAGGACTTACAGTATATTTATTTTCCTGCCTGTTAATGTATTTCCTTGTATCAGTGTATGTTCTGTTTTTTATTAACAACATGAATGCACCTGAAAATGAACAAGCGGTCAGCAGCCTCACAAGGGATCCCACAAAAAGTAATACATTAAACTTAAACATGTTCAGTGAATTCCTGTGTAGACATATTACCTGTCTTCAGGTCCATCTTAGTAAACCACAAACATGATATTTTACCACCAAAGTGAGAATGAATAGATTCATTTTCCACCTTCATGTTTTCCTAAGCCTCTGCCAAAACACCTCTCTACAATCCAATAATGAAAGTGCAGGGTAGAAACTGATAGACATTAACGTCTTCATTCTTTGCAATAATTCAGAATGTCTTTGGTAACTGCATTCCTCCTAATAACATGTTTGCTCCAGTTAAAGAGCATTATGTGTTGTTAAAGGCCCTTCAGAGAGAGTTCTTTTCATTATTATATTAGGTGCAGAAAAGTTAATTTTCCCAACTGCATGTGACAGCGTGCTCAGCAGACCGGGGAATTACAGTGTGCAGAAACTGCTGATTTCCTACAGGCATTTCTCAATCCCCCTGCAATATGTGTGAATGTATTCAAGATTAAGTATACATATGGGAGGAAAAGTTGTTTTTCTAAATGTTTTGCATCATCATCATGTTTTCTATCATCTTATCTTACTATAGTTTATACACAAGTTTATTTTAAATAGTATATGTGTGTGTTCATTTATATATTATATTTTATATTTTATTTTATATTTTATTTTATTTTATTTCTATTCTTGTATATTTTGTTTTATTGTAAAATGCCTTTTATGCTGCTGTAACAAAAACAATTTCCCAATTTGGGATCAATAAAGTACGATCTATCTATCTATCTATATATATATATATGTGATTGTATTTATTACTCATTATTCATACTACAAATACAAGTCTATTCATCGCAAATTTGCTAAAACCTTGTTAGCTTTGCCTCTTTGGTCTGGGTTATTAGAAAAATGCATTGGTATTTTTCTATTAATCTAATTTGCATTGTGGGCATTACCAATCAAAGTTCACAAATACAAGGCAATAGTGTATATGTATAAGTAGATGGATTATTAGCTCTTATTCAGAGTTTATAAGGACATTTCCAGTAGGTGGCAGTATTAGCAAATAAGAGCTCCAGTTCAACTTTAATTTGGTTTCTGGAAATGTCTTCAAAATTCAAAAGTTGATAGAAAAATAGAATTCTGGTGCTTTATCAGAATCAGAATCAGTTTTATTACCAAGAAGGTTTACACATATGAGGGATTGGAGAGACACAGAAAGAAGAATACATAAAAGCAAAGGCTAGTATGTCCTGGCATGACTTCTGGATCCTATTTTAAGGATACGATTGTGTTAAATAAATTAAACTTTGCTTTAAATGTTACAAAGCAGATTCACAATGATATCTTTGTGTTGTATCTCAGTCTGACACAGATGAAGATGTAATGGATTTGGCCTCCACACACACACAAACACACAACTCTTCTCCTGGGTTTCAGATGACTTTCTTTGGGGTGTACCTCAGATAATTCACCTCACCCATCCAGCCACTCATCTTCCCCCTCATGCCTCTGAACTGCCGCCACGGAAGCCATGCACTGCGTCTTCCAGCTGCAGCTTACTCTAACTTTTCGAAACTGTCGAAACCACCACCATTTCCTGTGCCATGAGTTATTTTTACTGCAGCAGAACTGATGCATCACAGAAACCAGGCACACAACAAATACAATGCAGGGGAAATACTACTTCCAACACATATCTAATATCTTGTGATGTGCAGTTTACAAACAGTGAAGTCACACAAATCCAATGAAAAATGTTGACTGTACTTCATTTGCATTCCAATTACAGCAGTGCCAAATCATGCTGAAACACTATTAGAAGAAGCAGATGTTAGTGATATCCTCCTGTATACAACAACTTGACTTTGTAGCAGAGCTGCAGAGGTGACACACGCCACAGGCAGGAACACTGAATTCCATCTGCAGGCCTGACGTTGATTTAAGAACAGGAGAAATAATATGCCCACAGTCAGAGCGGAAAGGCCTCACAAAGGCATCAAGACACTCGTTCTAGTGGTCATCAGGTAAACCATGATGATGCAGTCCAGTTGGTATTAACACTACTTTTTTTACACCATAGAGGCACTATTTTTTAGCGTGTCATCGCTGGTCTGGATTGCTTTCCCAACTATGAGCTCTCTGATTTCTTAAAGGAGTCATTAAGGTCAAACACATCTAACAATATCTAAACTAAGGTACCATTTGTGATGCATGCTACTGGCAACACTAAAGTTAAACCAGGTTTATAGTTAACCTTTGACATTTTGTTTAGTATGTTCTTCATCTCTAGAAGTATGGTAAACAAGTATAGCCTTTTTACAGATACTTAAGATAGGCATAGTTTAACCCCTTATCTAGTTGTTGTTCCTTTTTTCTGGAGAAGCTTTAAGGTTGCAGAAATCCTCCTCGGTCAGAGAGTATCATATATTCTACATTAGCTTGTTCAAACGTCCTTACGTTCAAGACCCTTAGGATCCATATTGTATATGTATGAACCTTTCACCAAATGGAACTATTCAGGATGCTTTGACATTTCCCCCCAAAACCAGCCTGGAATATTCAGTTGTCTTTGAGACTTCACTAGAATTTAAACAAAGAAGAAATGCCCCCCCGATGTAACTCATGTAGGATTTAATGAATTGGGCTGTAAACTCTGAACATTGTCCTCTCAAGTCCCACACCGCTGCTCTTCCCTTCCTCCCGTCAGTCTTTCATGTTAACGGGCTGCTAACTGCTGGCACCTTCAGAGACCCTCTCCTCCCAGACTACTGGAGGCCGTATGGGGTGGGGGGGCCGGGCCAAATGGCCTCATAGGATTAACAGCATTGTCAAGGCCGCAGCTCCCATCACCTCTGTAATCTTACGATTTGTTTGCAATACACAACCAGAGATGCCAGGAAGGGACTTGTTTGTCTGCTCTTCCACCCCCCCCTCCCCCGGGCACTTTGAAATGCAGCTCACTGTCCTTCAACTGTGACCAATGAGAGAGAATATTGTATGCATTTCAGGCCTAGGACATATGGGAGCACGGCTAGATCATCCCAAGGTAGATTATGATGTCTTTGGGTACAAAATCATAGAAGAAATTGTTGTTTTTTACCCTGGAAATCAGCTTTTTATCCCATTTAAGTGATTATATTTCTGTACTTTTCAAAATATTTTCTTTAAAACAAATATATTTCACGGCTACTTTTGTCACAGTCAATTATCCAGAATATTTGATATTGTTTGTATTCGATACAATATTTTTCATGTACATTTAACTTGTAATTGTTAATTCTCTATTCCACTTTTTAGGTATTTGTCTGAACACACTGCTGCTTCTGTTACGAAATAATTGGGATCAATAGAGTATATATCTATAACATGGTAGGACAAATGGGTTTTATTATTGGCAACAGGAAATGATATATCTTACCTGCCCTCTCTTCACCCCCTGCTCTTTAGACCCCACCCTTTTTCTGTGATGACCAATGAAGTTCAAGGCTCAGAGCTTTCAAAGATAGAGACCCCGGGTGTGTTTACCTCCAGTGTCAGAACATCTGAAAGCAGCACTCAGGACTCTCTCAGGACTTCTGTTGGTGTTGATATTAGGAGGACACAGTACCATGCAACACATCTCTGGTAAGTGATGATGATCTTAATCAATGTTAAAAGCTTGAATGAGCATATGGAATGTGAATGTGTTTTTCATGTTGAGCTAAGTTAATGGTAAGGGGAAATGTGCTATTTGTGCAATATATATATATGCCGTTAATAACTGTGCAATATATACCTGGCTGCTAAATCCTCAGAACTGTTACAGGGTGTGTATTTTTGTAAATTGTGTAACTTTTTCATTTTATTCTATTTCTTATTATATATATATATATATTTTACTTTAATACTTTTTTATGCATGTAACATATGTCACATTAAGCTGTCTGGCTCTTTTTCTGCTGTAACAACGTACATTTCCCTTCTTTGGGAGTAATCATGTACTTAGTCTCTCTCTCTCTCTCTCTCTCTCTCTCTCTCTCTCTCTCTCTCTCTCTATCTCTCTTGTTTGGGTTTTAACCAACAGGAAACTAACACCTTCATTCAAATGTTTACTGATTCGAATAGAAATTGAGATTTAAAGTGCAAAACTATGCTGAGTTGTCTCAAGTTCTGCTGAATATATTTTTCCTGTTTTTAATACTCCTATAAACTGCTATAAGCCAGTCACAGTTACCATGAATACATCTGATTTAGCAGAATGTGTATTTTCTCCATAGACTTCAAACTGCATCTGAGCATGCCCCGCTCCCCTCAGACAGCTGACTCATACCAGCACGGCTGCATCAGGATGACCCTGGAGAGCGCTGATCTCTGGAAGTCCTTCCACAGCAGCGGGACAGAGATGATAATAACAAAGCATGGAAGGTAACAACGCTACCCACAGAAGTCCTCCAGCACTGCTATACATTATTTATCACAAAGACCACAAAAAGAGATTCAGAGCTATGTCCTGCTTTTATAAAAACATTTCAATTCTTTCTTCTTATTTTTCAGGAGAATGTTTCCACACTGCAGCATCAGACTCTCAGGGCTCCAACCTTTTGCTAATTACGTCGTCATGATAGATATGGTTCCTGCAGACAGCTTCAAATACAGGGTACATGCATATGTAACACACACTTGAGTACTGTAAGCACAACATTTGGGGATTCAAAGCAGCAGTATGTAAAACGCAGCAGTCTGCGGCCTGCCCACTGTGGGCCGTTCACCGCTGCATTTCAAAGCCTTTCATTGCTTCCTGTTTGTGCATTCACGGCTGGAGGCCCAATCAATTAGCATCCCTTTCTATTCACTGTTGTGAATGAGAAACTGCTATGGCCCATTTGGTCACAGATATTGCTTTTAGCACACACTTGTAAAAAAGAAGGGAAAGTAATGTAGTAGAGATAGGGATACGTTTTTTAAGGTGCTATGAAATTGTTAAACAGAGATTTATTTATGAGTTTCCATACATGATCAGAAAACTCCTGTATATTATAACTTTTAAATGCTATTTTATTTATATTTTGGACTGTTTATTTCTGTGTCTTAATTTATCTTAAGACATTCATCAATAAAGTATCTATCTATCTATCTATCTATCTATCTATCTATCTATCTATCTATCTATCTATCTATCTATCTATCTATCTATCTATCTATCTATCTATCTATCTATCTATCTATCTATCTATCTATCTATCTATAAGATGTATAGACTAAAAATGTGATAATACCTCAGCTTTATTTTTCCCTTGTTTTTTAAAAACAAGAAGGGAAATTGAATAAATCAAGTATTTCTTGCTTCATGAAGACTTTGGATTAAACCTCATGTCTTACATCTAACCTTTCATCCATCCCCCATTTCTCTGTAGTGGAAAAAGGAGCATTGGGAGGTGGCGGGGAAGTCAGAGCCCCAGCCCCCGTGTCGGACATACATGCACCCAGACTCCCCTGCCCCAGGAAGTCACTGGATGAAGCAGCCATTGTCTTTTCTCAGGATGAAGCTCACCAACAACACCTTGGACCAGCACGGCCACGTAAGACCCCTTTACACACATGCTATGTTGACTAAACATACCGAATGTGCTTTTTACTCACTCTGCTCTTCTACCCATCAGATCATTGTGCACTCCATGCATCGCTACTACCCCAGGTTTCACATCACCCAGGCAGACAGTCCTTACACCGTCCGCTGGGGCCCCTTCCAGACCTTCTCCTTCCCAGAGACCACCTTCACTACAGTGACCGCTTACCAAAACCCAAAGGTATGCAGCAGTTTAACAAAACATTAAAGGTCTCCTATTATACTCTTTTTCATCAATATATATATATAGGTCTCAGATATATACAAAACATGTCTCTGAAGTGTTCCTAAATCAATCTAAACATTACCATTGAGGAGTGAGAGTGATGCCCAAAACCGAAAGCTCTGTTACACTCTAATGAAAAATACTTTTATTGCCATAAATGTTATGATGGATTATCAGTAATCATTTCAAAGGGACACAGAGACATTGGATTAACCTTCAGCAGCGTTTATATGCGTTGTAATGCCATTGAACACAACTTTTGATCAGAAAACAGCAAAGGTAAGACGTATTTGCCGTTTTGGCCCCGTAAAGTGAAGTTGTGTGTTGTCTTTCCTGGCCTTCGCTGCCGTGAGTTTTGTACGCACAGTTATGAAACTTATACCAATGGAATCTTTGGAATCTCAGCTTTCATATGATATTGAGTTTGTGCAGATAGCATGAAGTATAACATCTCTACCGTGAGTTATGTGCTAAGTGTGTTAGCATTTCTTCGCTTAGTGCTAATTCAGAGGCTTGGTATTACCCTTGTGTTTTGTTTAGCTAAAAATTGTTAATATTTCCTGATAGCTGAGTTTCTTCCCGTTAAGTGGGTATGACACATTAATAGGTTGTTAAATGTTAAGAAGCCCTGAGACACAGTTTCGTGCAATATTGTTGTGTTAAGAGGTTAAACAAGCCAACAAAACGTTATGACATCATAAAGTGGCTAAAATCTGATCAGCTCATTTTCAGACAGGTTTTTATATAAATGGATCAGGACAAAAAGTGAGCAAATATTTTTTTCTGAAATTTTCAGATTGTCTTTACACAGAGGGGACACATCTTTATGTATAACATACATGAAAAAGTGGATTTTGCATAATAGGTGACCTTTAAGAGTGATGAAACAAAAAACAAACCACTTGTTGAGTTAATTTAGGCCTTCTTACTGCACCAGCACTTACTATGGTATGATCTTTCTTGAAGTGAATATATATGCACTTTCCTTGTTGTTCGGAGTTTGATTCTTCATGTTTTTTTGCATTTATTGTAAGTCGCTTTGGATAAAAGCATCAGCTAAAATATATGTAATGGATCTGAGCCCCCAAACAGTTTGACAGCTATCTCTTCTTGCCTTTTAAAGATCACCAAATTGAAGATCGACCACAACCCATTCGCTAAGGGATTTAGGGAAGGAGGCACTCATTCCCACGGCAAAAGGTGAGAATAAATAAACGTACGTATACATATTCCTGTTTTTGTCTTACATTATATACATATAGATTTGAATTAAAAGAGATAGTCTTTCATTACAGTAGAACATATAGTTGTATTCCAATATAAACACATATAATCAGAATGGGCAGAATAGTGTAATAAAAATAATTGTAATATTTTTCTTCAGGTGTCATTCCAACAGAAGCTCTCCTGTGAAAAGAGCCCGACGGGAGAGGGAAGATCTTTGCACCAGTCCTCCAGGTAAGCCTTTCTGTTTTTTTTTAATATGATTTAGTGTTTCTCAAACAGCAACAGATGAAATTCCAAGGAATGAGAAGTATTCCTTTCAATGAGGAGCTCAAGGGATGTCCAAACTTAAAACTGTTTAAAAAAGGTATAAGGACACGATTTTAACAAGATACAGGGATAACGTGTTTGCAGTTTATTTATTTATTTGGTTTGTTATTTTATCTTTTCTTGAATATCAATTACCTCTGTTATGTATTTGTTTGTTTATTTATCTGCTTATTTGTTTGTTTATTTATGTTTATTTATTTGTTGTTTTATGTTTTTCTTCAATAACAAATGTATTTCTTTAAGAAGAAAAAAAATTAAATAAAAAAATAAATATATATGTTAGTAATTTAGTTTTTGGGAGAAGGGGTGGGATTAAATAAATGTAAACTTTTTCCCACCCCTTTTCGGATGTGTAATTAAGTAGATTATTTGTTTATACATAAATAGATTATTTGTTTATACTTAAATAGATTATTTGTTTATACATAATTTAGAGTCAGTAATATTTATGTATATCAATTTGACACTGATTAATTTAGTATTGTATAATAATTCTCATGTTACATTTTTGTATTATTGTTTTACATTTTCAAAATAAATCTACTCAAATCAAATCAAAAATTCCTTTAAATCAACGTGCCAGTCTTATTGATCATTGTATTTCCCTTGCAGGCCTGCAGAGGATGCCCTCCACCTCTCAGTCAGTGAAGGCGGGGAAGGATGAGCAGCCCTTGAAGGAGCATGACCTTTCAGCCTGTTCATCGGAGCAGGAGAGTGTCCACACCGAGCCCCTGGAGCCGCAGGAGTACGACTACAGCTGTGAAGAACAGATGGTGCCTGCGTCCGTGCCATACCAGCCCTACAGGTACGATTTAGGATTCCCAAGATGAGATCAAATCCAATGGACAGTAGAGAAAAATAAAATGCAAACTGGTGATCCATGACATGTAACCTCCATATCACTCTTTCATCCCTGTAGATCTCTGGAGTACGCCAGATATCCGCTGCATTCCAATGACGTAGATGCAGCACACTCTCTCCTCCACCCTCCACATCATCCACTCTCCACAGCTGAACACACCTCCCAACAACATGGCTACTACCATCATCCTCACCACCACAGCCAGGCTGGGGATTGGAGCCAGTATCCGCTCTTCTCCTACTCTTGTTAGTGACCATTTTCAATATGGTGACAATATTAACGGGGATGAAACCACTAAAGCAGGGGTGTCTAAACTGTTTTCACCGAGGGCCACATACAGAAAAATATACGAAGGGCCTGGCCACTCACTAGAGTTATATTGCCTCATAAATTCAGTTATAAGTTAGCAAAATCAATCAAATGTAGGTAAATTATGCTTGTGAGTGTTGGCAGCTCATCCCTTAAAACAGAAGCCTCAGATTGATTATAATAAGGTGAAATAAGAAGGCTGTATTTCAAGCTTGTTATGTAAATAAGTCATTGGGCTTTTTTCTTATCAACTAAGATATGATAGAAAATGTTTCCAACTTTAATTGACTGAATTTATTATTAAGTGGTCTTATTAACACGTGAATACTACTGTGTAATATATGTTTACATTTATATTTAAGAAGTAGACAGAAGACAAGCACAAGTTTCATTTGTGGGCCATATTACATTATACTTTTTTAATTTGCTGGGGGCCGATTCAAAAGGGTCCACGGGCCACATTTGGCCCCTGGGCCGTAGTTTGGACACCCATGCACTAAAGCCTTGAAGGAATATTGTCACTGTGTCACAGGCAGACCTGGGACTGACTGACATGTCACTCCAGTTTGTGATAACATTGTACAATTGTGTAAAAAATGTAGTGTATTTCAAAAAGCTTGTATTTTTTGTGAGGGTCTGTTAATTAGACAATAATCATATTCAAGTGAAGACTTATTTACTAGGATTTATATTCCTGATCACGTCATGTGCTAGTTCAGTCACAACCTGCATGATTGTCTGTGTTAAAAAAATATAGGTATTGTTTTAAAATGCAATATATAAAGTATTGTCTGTATACAGTCAGCTGGGAAATAAGTGTGACATTTAATCTGATGAAAGGATACCCATATGTAAAAAAACATGTTTGGAAAAACCTCATGATTCCACTTTACTTCTGTTAAAGGTGGGGTAGGTAAGTTTGAGAAACCGGCTCGAGATACACTTTTTGTTATATTCCATGGAATGCTCTTAACATCCCGATAGCAATGAATATCTTAAGTGCTTTGACAAAAAATCCATTAAAAAATGTCATCTGTGGAAGCCGTAGTACTGTAAAAAGCACGACCAATCATTTTAGCCAGCCCGGCTAAAATAACTGGATGGCCTACCTGCCTGTCAGCCTTCCATCTGTGCACAAACTTATGTCGTGCCCTCATTGGTCATGTGCACGTTCGTGTGTGTTGGAGGAGGGGCTCTGTAAGGAAGTGGCAGATTTTTTCCGGCTGTGTATTTTCAAATTCTAGCGCACTCGAGCTGGTTTCTCCAAAATGACCTACCCCACCTTTAAACAACAAAATGTAAAATATATATTTCATATCAGACAAGTTATATTGTGCCAGAATTAGCATTTGCATCCTAAATGACAACATTGTATGTTTGTGTTTAATGGCTAAGGAAAGTTTTATCAAAATAAATCCTGAGGAAATCAATGAATAAACTTGTGTGTCTTTAAATCCTATTCCTAATGCTTTAGGCTTTTGTGAATACATAACATTTAAATCCATAAGCAATTCAACAGCTACATTAACAGCTCTGCGAGATAGTATTTAGGCCCAGTGCTGTGGATGCTAACATGCTAACAATGAAGATAGTAATATGCTGAATTTAGCATAGCAGGTAGGTGCAGGTGCTAACATTAGCTCACTTTCATAAGCACATGGTACAGCTGAACAATAGCAGTTAGTTCTGGTCGACAAAGAAAGAAAAAATGAAAAATTAATCCGTGGTTGTTTTTGCCGATATGTAATGGCAATTCACTCAAACGTTTTTGAGATATATTATACTCAACCTCAACTTCAAAGTGGCACTTTAGTCATTTGGATACATTTTCTGGGAACCAGTATACCCTACTGGATATTTTAAACGTTGACCTGCTGGTGGAGCTAAAACACAGGTCAAGGGTTCATCCTCTGGAGACCATGTATGTCGGTAATAATAATAATAATAGATTCAATTTGTATAGCGCCTTTCAAGGGACACAAGGCCGCTTTGTGAACAAACAAACAAACAAAAAAGAAGGGCAAATAATAAAGTAAAAATTAAACAAATAGCTGGGGGAGTGGAAGCAGGGGGACTGTGATAGGTTAGGGGTCAAATGCCAAGGTGAACAGGTGAGTTTTTAATGAAGACTTGAAGATGTCCAGGGAAGCAGCATTGTGGCATGGAGAGAACCAATTGTCAAGTCGGTGCATCTAAAAATGTACCAGAAAAATGCTTTTTTCCTACTTTATTTGAATCTTTTGATCACAAGCAAAAAATAACAAGAGCATATTTATTTATTGAGTGGAAGAAAGAGCAAAGGAACATGGATAGACTTTCCGAGAGCAACGTGTCGGACCAGATAAAGCTATGACAGACAGATAGCACGAAATTACCATCACAGTCTGGCATAGTTTCCCCAGCAGAAGGCTGGAACGTCTGTGTGTTAAATGTTTAAAGAGAGAGAGAGAAGCCATATCTGGGACATTTATACAGCTTCAGGGAGCAGACGGAGATCATTTTCTAGAGCACTCAAATCACATGTTATTGTGGGATACTCTTTTTATCATCACTGTAAAAAAAAACATACAAAGAGTCAAAATTGTGGATGGTCCAAAACCTGAAGCAGATATGGCTTCAGTCGTTTCTGAGGAAGATTGAACATCCTGATAACAGGATGCTACGATTAACCTCCAGGGCTTCCTGAGGAATCCTTGGCCATCTAGGGCCTTCCCAAATTGCTCCCACCTTGCTGTATAATATGTTAAAAATATCATGAAATAAAGTCATAGCATTATATGTTGAACATGTAATGGCATTTTGATGTTAAAGGGGACCTAACAAGCAAAATGCATGACGCATTGATGTCTTTTAAATATGTGTCCCCGGTGTGTCAGGGAACTCACAAAGTGTCAGAAAATAAAACCCTCTCTCTTTCCCTCCGTGCGCAAATCTCTAAAAAACGGGGGTACAACGGAGCTGATCCAGATTTGCCATCCGATATGACGTAAATTACAAACCGGCACTATCAGAAACGTCGCTGTATCAGAAACAATTCCCGACGTGTTTTGGACGTAATAGTCTTTGTTTACATTAGCAAGCATCGCTAACACTTACGGACCGTCCACACAGCAGCGTTAAAAAATCTTGAAACGCTTCAGCCCATTCACTTTGAATGGGGTGACGTCACTTTGCCTCACTTTTCGCCGAACTGCATTGTGGGCAGAAGAGCGGAGATTTTCAGGATTTTCAGGATTCAAAGTTGAGCAATGTTCAACTTTTGAAGCTGAGGTGGAAGCGTCAGCCAATCAAATCCTGTGTATGCAAATCTGACAGTTCAAGCGCTAGCCAATCAAACCGCGTGTATGCTGGGAGAGACATACCGCAGGTCATTTCCTCATATTCCAAAAAATGGAGGAGAAATTAGCGGTAGGAAATCACCCGGTGCTTTATGACCAGTCCCTATTTACCTACCGGGATATAAACCGGAGGAGCCAGGCATGGAGGGAGGTGGCAGAGACAGTGGTATGTTTTCGCCTGTTTGGGGAGTTTATATCCAGTTTACTTCAAACTTTTTTGCTTCGTATGTCGGGGGCGGGGGATTCGTGTGATTGGTTGTTGGTGCCTTGCTCGCAAAAAATCCCCAAGCTTCAGATACGCCCACCTCCAAGATTTTTTTAACGCTGCTGTGTGGACGGTCCGTCAGAGCTAAGCTGTACTGGAGAGAGCATGTGTAAGAAGCAGGGTATAAAAAGGAACTCACCTTGTGGTATAACCCGCAAGAGAGAAAGCCTTTGAGCTTCATACTGTTTCAGAAATAATCCTTGCGTTTCATCACCGCAGCATTTTAGCAGGGTTGCCAACTCTCACGCATCTGGCGTGTGACACACGCTTTCACTCTCAATCTCACGCTCTCACGCTGCCCAAACTATTCTCACGCCAAAAACAAGAATACCGAAGACTAGAAACGGTTTTGAAAACTTTTGTCACGTAGTGATCTTCTTCTCAATAGAACATCTTTGATAATGTCTTCTGACCAATCAGAATCACGATAACGGCGTGGTGTTGTTGCAGGAAGTCCCGACGGAGAATACTTTTGCGGTAGTACATCTCTATACATCGATACAACATTACGTGTTGATTGAAATCAACACGTAATGAAATAAGACCCCACGGTTTGATGATTGATAGGTGTGTGGGCTGTCTTTCATTTTGACACACAGAACAATGGGGGCTATCCACCCTTATCCACAATGTAAAGTAATTCACACAGCCTCTTCCCTCTTCTCTCTGTGAGGAGCAGCAGGTTCAGCTTTCAGAACAAAGTCACACAAAACTAAAATGCCATTCATTTTTTTAAATATGTCGTGACGTGTAGTAATAGATTGATTTATTTTTCTTCTCAAGAGAGTACCAGAATGTGTATTTTATGTTAGTATTTTAAAAAATCTCCTGGGGGAGAATCCCCCAGACCCCCCTGCAGGGGTTGGGTTTTCAGCATGTCAACTCTTTCACTTAAGGGGAAATTGCAGGATTGGCTCCAGGTCGCCCTTTTTATTTACTACAAGACAAATGTGCCTTTTTATTTCATACAGTTCAATTTGGATTGAGAGAGACAGGGAAATCATCTAAACCTCACGCGTGGCGTTTCACTGTCGGGGGGAGCGTGTATGTAATTACATTGCAAATACTGACTTGAGCCCCACCACTGTAAAGGTTAGCCCTACCATAGATTACGCAACAAAAATACTCTGGAGCCGCAACTGCCGACCCGTATTGCGCATGCGCAGATCTAAGATCCAGTAGAAATTATAAAAAAGTAAAAGTCTGCTGCTTATTGTTCTACTTGGCCAAAATAGAGTCAAAGAGTATATGAGAGTGAGAGTGTGTTAATTAATATATTTGGCAGTTTGGAGTATGTCTGTAGATTTGTTTGTGTGTGTGTGTTTCATAGGCCTCTCACGATAATTAATTTTGTTGGATACATTTTCCCGGAAATTATTGCGATAAACGATAATATTGTCGGCACCGTTGTATGACCATTTTAGACCACTGACATAATGAAAATATATAATAATAATTCAAGTACATCCTTTCAAACTGCTAATCACATCCTCATGTAAATGGCAATTTATCGAGGTCAGAAAAGTTATCGAGTTCATTTTTATTTATCGTACGATAAGTCAATGAATTGCTTATCGCGACAGGCACACAATAAAACAGTGGAAACAAACATGTTTGACTTTCATTAGTGAATGAAACTGTGTGCCCTTTATAGTCTGTGTCCATTATTGTGTATTTGTATATATTGTATATATATCCTATATGCTAAGGTCCCGCTGCTGACACGATAGCAGTCATTTCGTGCGCATATGTGTAATTAAACCGAATTAAACCCATGATATCAAAGTCTCACTCCAGCCAGGTACCCAAAGTTGGCAACCCTGATTTTAGACAGTATCTGCCAGGTCCCGCATGAGCCGGCATAAGCTCCGCCCCCTCTTATTTGTATTTTTTTCAGTAAAAAAATAAGCTTTATACCCAGAATCAGCACTTTTGTAACAGGAAGAGAAATGGAGGGATATGAGGCATGGCTAGAATGGGTGATCTGTTTGTTTTTTTGACCAAAACACTTCATAGACATGTTAGTTCTGAACTTAAGCGGGGACCCGGATCAATAAAGTTAGTTCTGGACATTAGGGGAGACCCTCACCAAAAAAATTAACGTTTTTATTTAAGGAGGGACCCTTACCTAAGTACATTTATATGTTTTGATAAGTATCATTTTTATAAGGAGGGACCCTAAGCAAAAAAGTTACATTTGATATAAGGGGGGACCCTTATCAAGGTTTATAAATACAATTATTTTAAAAATGTTTACAATTTCGAAAATATCAGAGCAAACATCAAAGTATAATTTTGAAAAGGTTAGTAAAGAAAAAACTGCACAGTATAATATATCAACATTTGAATAAGTACTTTAAATAAATGTCATAGTGTCTGTACCTTTTATGATTTTGGGGCATCACTTAGCATGCTCACCTTGATCAAATGGAGTTAAGTATGTTTACTTATGAATATCATTCGACAGCAAAGCCTTTATTTGTGCCAACCTCTCCACAGCATGGCAGGCTCCATCAATTAGTGTGAGGGCGGTGTCGGTAATGGACTGTAGGAAGGCTGTCATCGACCGTTCTGCACATCCATTAACACACACACACACACACACACACACACACACACACACACACACACACACACACACACACACACACACACACACACACACACACACACACACACACACACACACACACACACACACACACACACACACACACACACACACACACACACACACACACACACAGCCCAGAGGAGAGGTCAGACTCCGCTAACTTTGATTCATTGTGTTCATTCTCACTGCGGCCACTGCCTATCACAGTCTGAGGCAATACATTGATTGGCTTTAATGACAATTTAACCCGGCACATACACACACAGCACAAGGCTTCCTGGGGTAAAGCCTAAGCGTGAACTGAATGCACAGTAGATCCTTTCTCTAATCAGGAAATAGCTGTAAAAGACACAATTACAAAACCATATACTGAAATGAAGGAACCTAAAACATGTCACTAGTGAAGAGGATGTTGGCTGTTATGATTGGCTCCAGGTTAACTGTATGTTAAATAGGAGTTACTGTATGTAAAAGCTCTGCTACACTATGCTTGCGTTTCAATTGCTTTGATATTTTTTCCAATTGTCTATTTACGGTCATCCAATAAGTTGTGATTTCAAATGAGTTTGATGCTGTGACTTCCCATACTTGTATCCATTTGTTTTACAATCCCATAATATCAAACAGCTTATCCATCATATGGTACTGATGGATAAGGTTAGGGAGGTAGCTTGCTGCTGCATCAGCACATAGGAGGTAGCATTTGGGGCTTTCTGTCTTAAGGGTCTATTTTAACCCAAACCTTGAGTATGTCCTTAACCTAACAAAGCCATTTTAGTGAACAGCCGGGACTAAAATAATATATAACTTATTTTTTAGCTCCTGGGGTCTTAAAGTGTGTCTTTTTGTACTTTGTTTGGAAAAGGTTGAACAAACAGTTACAACATATGAAACATTGCCCTTGAAAAGTTTTCCATTAGCCATCTCTAGGTCAGCTGACTTTCTTTTCTTAGCACTTCATTAAAATTCATTAATTGCCTCCTTCCTCCTGGGCGCAGCCAGAATCAAAACTGGAACTGTCAAAAATTAGAGCGAGAGCAACTGTCCTGTGCTCCAGATACACAACCTGTGAAGCCCGGCGGCTGCTGCTGCCCCCCCCCCCACCTTCCCAAAACACAACGCAGAGGACAGATTTGAGACGAGAAAAAGTTAAAGAAGTAGACGTAAATTTTATTTACTTGTTCTGTACATAAAGGGTCAATACCAGCACAGGTGTTAACCATGGGAAATATTAACACATGTAAATGGTTTAAGAAAATAAAAGGCACAATTTTCAATCCTTAAGTAAAAGACAGGCTTTCCTAGAATATGAGAAGAGAGCACAGTAATACTGTTAATGCCATTACAAAACAACTCAGAAGCATGACAAAAGTAAGTTCACCTCAAGAGAAGGAAAGAATCAGGGTGTATTGCTTAATTAGTAATTTCATTAATTTTGATGAGGAATAAAAAAACCCACGCTGGTTGGTTTGACCAGGAGGGATTCAAATAAGAGAAACCTTGGTTTAATAAGGACATAAAATGACATTAAGCAGCATTTGGCCAGGCAGGACCATCTACCCGGCCAAGAGGTCATGCACAGAGGCAACCAGCAGGCATTTTCCCTTTTGTAAATGTCTCCGTCCGTACTTTTGTTTAACAACATCACTCATTTTGACAAAAAAAAGCTTGAATGAATAGCCGACTATAAACTGACATGATCAAAGTTGGGAACCAACTAAAAGCTGCACAATATTACTCAGAGTGAAGGGTCGGTAATCGATTTAAATGGAAAGCACTATGCGGAGTGTGGGGGGGGGTGTAATGGTTCATTCTTTACAGCAGAAATGAATAAATGACGGTTTGATTCTCAGCTCCTACTGGTCAAACTGGTTGTGTAGGAACAAAGATGCTTTTCCACACATTTGCATAATGAGACAAAGTTGTGCACGGACCGAATATTTAAGGACTAAAGCTAAAAAGAAAAACACTAAATTGACAGGAGTAACATTGCATTAAAAACACAAGGTTAGAGAGTGGGATTGCATGCGCTAAAATATGCATTTACCTTGCTCTCTGAAAGAAAAAAAAAGGCATTAATGGGATTCTCATTGGCTTGCTGAAAAATGTCCTCCTTTCCTGACCTTTGCCCTCACCTCAGTAGAACGCAGTCTTTGTGCCGATGCTGCGACGATGCATTTTTTTAAGCTAGCCTTTTAGATGCTTGTGGGAAGTGCTAGCGAGAAGGCTGTTGCTACTTGACTTTAGTTCAAAGCTTGACACTCCTATGCAGAAAGTTGAAATGTATCGACTAGTGCTGATGTCACTAAAAACCCTGCTAATCTCGAAGCAATGCATTTTCAGTTCAAAATAATGTGAAGGGCAGTCAAGAGAGGTACCGAGTGGACATGCAAAGTTTCCCCTCTACCATACATCTCCAAGTCACATACAAAAAAAAAAACATGAGTTGATCATGTGGCACAAATAGGAGAAAGATGAAATCACATAGGGCCGAAATATGCGTTTTAAACAAAGATAAATAAGTCTTGAAAGTCAGGTGGAAGTGTGGATGGGGTCATGGGACCTAAAATGTCACGGTGCAACCCATCTCTCCTGAATCCAGTCACGCATCACGTACATATTAAAAAAAAAAAACTGTCAACCTGAACAACTCACAGCCAATACCTGCGTGTGTGTCTGTGCTTGTGAGATGGTTAAGGTACAACAGTGACTTGATTGTTTGGAGAAATAACATTTGACCGGCTGGTTAGCTCCTCGTCGCCTCAGTGCTCTCCCAAGTCCGTGGGGATGTTGCTGTTCCCTACTTCGTACGAACATCGACACAACAAACACTTTTCCCCAAGACTTCAAACATATATTCAGAAAGAAACCTAATAAACACAGACATGTTGTAATGTAATGTGGTAAATATCTATTGTGACAGACACTTAATACATACGCACACACACACACACTGATGCCCAGTGATCTGGAAATGAAAAGGACACTAATGCAAAAACACATCGGCCAGCCTGGAACCAAGTCAAGGGATAATGAGATGGGAGGAGTGGGATCAGGTTTTTTTTTTTTTTAAGTTTGGACCCAATGTCCAAAGCTGTAAACAGTCAGAAAGCCTTGCAACGGTTGGCAACAACGGTGGGGTCGCTATCATGGTACAGCCCCAAGCAGGCAAGCATGTAACCGTGGCGACACTGGCGGGAACGAGGTGGAGACGGCCAGCAGGTTCAGGTACGGGGACGATAACTGGCGAGAGGGTCCAGGCCGACACTAGGGTCAGTCGCTCTCGTCCGGATTCTGGGGGTCTATGATTTTCACATGGGTGAATGGGAAGAGACCCCTTCGTCCGTTCACCTCGCCCTCCCATTGGCCGCTGATGTTCATCCGTGTTACCTTGACGATGTCGCCGAGCTGAGGGCAGAAAGACAAATAGCAGGGTTAAAGGAAAAGCAGGATTTGTGGGAAGTATATCTGGATTGGAAAATAACCTAGAACGGTTTGTCACTTTCTAGAAAAACTGCAACATTTCATGGTCACATTAAACTAGAATGCCTTACAGTGTATTAGGAGCATTCACTTTTACATTTCTGGAATAAAACTCACAAAATAAATCCTTAAACCGAGTTATATTTTGCGTATATAACAGAGTAGCGAAATGAAATGTTGAAACATAGCCCCTTGACAAATAGCACAATTTACTTGAATTATTTCTCAATTCTTAAGTGTAAAGATGCTGCTCTACTTCAACTAAGTGACTAAGCTGGTAACCGTCATGCAGATGCAGATGTGAACTGTAAGCTGGTGAGTAACGGCTGCAGACTGTTCAGATGCACACAGATAAAAAACAAGAAAGATAGCACTGGGTTTATAGTCCAAGGAAATATGAAAATGTGGCCAAAGCTTATCCTAAAGCACTTCATCCAACTACACCGTCTGCACATGTGAGCTTAAAAAAACAGTGATTTATTAATACACCACGTTCAAAATAAAAGCCTTTTGTCATTAAACTGTGGTGGAGCACAGTGCTGTCGCTCAGATGGGGTTGTGACATTGAATGCGACCCCAATCTGTTAAAGCCATATGTTCTTTGTGGGGGATTAGAAGGGAAAAATCTCCATCACTAAAACCATGATTGAAACGTGAATGTGAGGGCACGTGGCTTTCTCTTCAGAACGACGCTTCAAGGACATCTAGTCCCAGACATTATCTGTAACAATAATCCGTTACGTCATCCTGGAATGACAAGAATGCTACTTAGTCATACAAAGCTTCCGTGGAAAGAAAAAAAACGAAATCTTCATTCAAAAGAAATGCTGCAAGGAAGCGCCATAGCGAACACAAATTCAGCTCCGTACAAAAGAAGTGCCATTCAATTTGTAAGTGTTGAATTATATCTAATCTTCATTAAGAGCAGGCTGGTTGTTATGAATGCACGTTTTAATATAAATGTTGAAACATGTTGAAGATCTTGTTATTAGAAATACAGAGCAATAATAACATTTACTGTGATCACGGGAAAAGGAAATATAATCAAATAAAAGGAATAATATCCAACTCTTAAGAATGTAGAAGTGAAGCAGACTTCGGTCTAAAAAAACAAAACCCTAAAAATAATGTGCACATAACCTGATATAAATTTGTTGGGGACTGCGTGTCTGTGAAGTAAATAAATAATGACTCATAGCCGCTGCTTCTTCTTTTTCTTAAACCCCAGGGGCCGTGAAACAGCGACGGCACAAACCAAAAGCTTTTTTCTGTGAGCCGTGACCTATTCTGAGCCGACAGAGAGAGACATGATGAGACGAGGTGAGGTATGTGACGTCGGTCCAATGCTAGTTTTAGGGCAGTAAATCAAAATGACCACAAGGCTTGCCGGTTCCTTTCTAGTGACCAGTTTCTAGGGGCTTTGTTTCCTCGGTCACATTTTGTACACCACTATATAAATCAGATATTCCCTACTCATTCAGGAGAGTTACTAACATGTCTGGATGTTGGGCTTATCAGACCCATCAGTTGTGGCCTGCTGATTTGCATTACCATTTTCAAAAATGATAAATAGAAAATGTTTTAGGGCACCATTTTATAATGCACAAGTAGCAGGAAATAACTGTGAACTGCAGGGAAACCCCCTATGGAAGTCTACTTGTCAGGGAACCTATACAAACACTTGCAATGACAATAGCATCTTTATTCCTTAATGCTACGTGAAGTGAAGAAGAAAAACAGACCCTCAGCCTCAACACGGGCGATGTCTGTATAGACACAAGCACTGTCCCACTAATAAGACACAGTGAGACCAGCATACAGTCAACCATCACAGTGGGGTGGGGGGGTCACTTGTATGACACGGACAAAACCAGACACATCTAAAAAAAGTCCTTAGACATGTTTACACCTAATTTCCATATCAAACTTTCTATAACGATAATCCTTCAAAAAGAAAAATGTAAATCGTTTGCTTTTCCTTTGGGTGGCGTAGTGCCAATGTGAAACTGTTGCAGTGACACCAGTATGTGCAACCTTTCTTTATTCAAAGGATTAGCAAATTATGGAAATTCAGATACAGTTTTCACAACGGCAGCACATTTGAGGTGTCGTGATGCAGGACTAAAACATGTTGATGGAAAGAGGCAATTTAAATATTTGATTTCACCGCAGCTGTTATCAGTGACTCTGTATTTTGCTCACGTTAGAGACAGGTTCTTTAAAAAGGAGAACAGTGCCTTTTGGCAGCTAGAAACTAGGCTACTATGAATATTAATAATGAAGTACCACATATCTTAAATCTACTAAAAACACAGATGAGGGATAGGGATATCGCTAACTTTTGTAGAACACAGGTAACACAACCGTGGGGATTGGGAATATAGTCAAAATGCATTGTTGCGGAGTTGATTATAATTGTAAAATAAAAACAGTATTTCGTATATTCTATTTGAATCAAGTGTGCTCTGGAGTAGAACAGATGTGCTTACAAACCCCAGTTCTTTCACTCTATTTCACACACTCTCACAAAAGTCTACTAAACATGCATAAAACATGCATGTTCGTAGATGAAGACAATGCAGACAGTCACAGGACAATCTTTATTTGCCCGTAAACAGAAGCCAGCCTTACACTTCAGCTCGACCCACGTTACCGCTACACCGTCAAAGTACACAGAATTGAACAAATTCCACAGAGAAACATGTTTCTGTTTCAGTTCTCAAATGCTCGCTGTGTTGGCACATTTGTGTGCAGTCCCTCTTTCTCTGATCCCCTCTCTATGTCTCTATCTGTGGACTGAATTCACTTTTAGTTTAATGGAAGTTTCCACTTTGAGGAGATTGTTGAACAGATTGGTAGTGATGGGCGCAGACCCAGGCTAGCTGACATGTCGGGTTGACCCGCAACAGCTCACATCACAGAGTCAGTCTGAACAAGGCATTTCCTGAGGTGATGCTAATGTCTATTGTGAAAGGAACACAGGGGAGAGAGTAGAGAGGACATTGTTGTAAGAGGGAGCAGTCTAACCTTAAGCATGAACACCATTTGCTCAAGCTCCAAAACGTACACTTCATTTTAGAGTCACAGGGGCGGCCTGAGTACCAGCATAGCTCACTTCCTGCATCCACTGACACACTGTGATGTCAGTGAACGGCAGCGGAGACAGGCCCAGATGCCTTTCTTTCTCATCTGTCCCCTGAGGACACTGCTGCAGCTCAGACTGCTATCAGAGTGGAGCATGCTGGAGCCCCAGTGTATACGTGAAGTGCACATTATACATTACATTACATGCTGCAACATGTTACCACAGCCAGAGCACATTTGTATTGAGTGCACTGCTGAGAAATGCAATCGAGCCGTAAAATGCAACAGAGCTGCTGCCCTTTTAGCAGCTAGCAGGAACATGTAGCCACAGATAACAGGAAGAATGGGTGCTTGAATCACCCATACAAGTATATATATTAGGACACAAAACTGTAGTCAGTATCACCACAGTCCCCCCCCCCCAACACCTAACATCAAATAATGAATGTCATTTAGTTTCAATGAATGCTTAACACCAGTATCAATCGACAACAACTCCATGATCATTCAGCATGATGCCAGAGCAACACCTAGAGCGGCTGCTGTACAGAAGAGCCTTACATATTGGAGGTTTGCAGAAGAGCTGCAGGTTATCTTAAGACTCTTTCACACATCGTCATGGCTGTGGCAGCGCTGCCTTGTGTTAGCACTTTACTCATTAGCTACCGACTTCCACAGTTTCAATGCAGCGTGCTGGTTAACCTTACAAGAAATGATTCAGTGCTAAAGTAACATGTTTTAGGTGTGAAATAAACAGGGCCCTTCCCTTTTTTATTTTTTTAAATGTATAATGACGTTTTGTAATGTGTTGTTTTGGGGACTGTCTCCATTTGAACAGCTCCAAAAATAGAAAGTCACAGAGGATAACATGAATAATGCCGCCTTAATTTTCTCTTGTTTTTGGTTGACTTTCTCCATGCTGAAGCTGAGTGAAACAGACTTTAAACATGAAACCAGAGAGGGCATCAGAACACTGCTTCACAGTCTGAGTCGATTAGAAGCTGCCTACAACTTGGCATAGAGTTGTATTGCATGATATCACAAACGGCTGAAACACACATTTGATATACTGATTGTAGTCTTTGGTCATGTTAAGTCATATGTGCCAATAGTAAGTTAGTTTGAGGGCATTTCCCCATATGTTTCCCCCATATTTTGGATCATTTATAAAGATTACTTTAGTAGACTACAATAATTCATCTCAATCAAAAAAGCCATATTTTAAAACAACCCAGGAAGTCTACCTTTCATTAAGAAACGATATAGACAAAACACATTTTAGTTGAGTTAAATCCCATATCACATACCTCTAGAGCCAGAGCTGTTTTGTCGTAGGCGCATGGCACTCGTTTCTGAATTGCCTTTGCCATGACGGGGCCGTTCTGCATGGAGGGTAGAGGGCTGATAACTGCTCCGGGGGTGCCAGGTGGTAACGGCGTTGGAGTCTGGGGCTGGGCGTAGGCGTGCACGAGGGCGTGGGAGGGCTCAGGGATCCCATAGCTGTTGGAGTTGCGAGACCCATGGGAAGGCTGGCCAGGATGAGGTGAAGGTCGTACCAATTTCTCCACATAGGGAACGGGGATCATCCCCACACGCCCCTCTTTACTCTTGGCGCTCCACCACTGCTCCTCTGGCTTCTCCAGGATGATCAGGATCTCCCCCTTCTTGAAGGGAAGGTCCTCTGCATCGCTGCCAGTGAAGTCGTAAAGAGTCCGCACATACTCTAGGTTCTCATCTGGGACACCCAAGGGCTGGATGGGACCGCTCACTGTGCTTGGGTACCTTGAGAGATTACAATAAGGAGGCAAAGGAAGGAGACATAATGGGGTTACCATAAAAAGAAGGTCATTGTCAACTGAATATGAAATACATGGACTAGTGCCTGGATATACATTCCAGATGTTCTTGTTGAATGGCATTTAATAAAAGCTTAAGTTATGTCAAAGGGCAAAACGTGATTTACATACACCTCCAAGGACAATCTGAGTATAAATGTTTACTAATGTAGTGTATACATTAAATGGCAAGAAGGCATACATGGAATATCCATGTTCATTTCCAAGGTCTTTGAGCAAAATAGGAATAAATGCCACATAGAGAGATCTAAAAACAGTGCATTAGTAGCTAATTCCAAAATGGATGGCTGTGTGTAAGCAAACATTGCTAATCGTGTATATAAACATGCAAACCCCACACTTTACCAAAGTCTTGGCTAGTGATTGTTTATCATATGTTAAGAAACCACACATCAATAACAAACTGCATGTGTGAGGGTAGTGTTAATGTCTCTTCTCTCTTCAAATGTGTCAAACTAGATGCCCCATGGCATTTCAGCAGGGCACTGAGGTAAGCCTGAAAGTGGGTTGGTTTTGATAAAAATAGCCAAGCTACTTAACCTAGATTATCCAGCCATTGGTGGTAATATATGAGGCCCAAGTGTTATGTTTTTCTTCATCATAGTGTACACTTAATATCATGGGTTTAGTGGTGGGGGGTAATGGGGGATGTTCATACCTGGGGGCTGGCTCTATCAGCGTGGTGGTATCCAGGTAGTGGATTTTGTAGAACTCCAGCAGAGCAGGGAGGTGCTCAAATTCTTGGTCGCCTATCTTAAACCTCTTGCTGGGCAAAGAGTTGATTATATAGTGAGACACTTTGGAGTTTTCAGACACTGACAGCACGTAGTCGCCGGGACAGGTCGACGAGTCTCGAACCAGAAACATACCATGTCTCTGTCCTTGTAACCTATTCTGTGCCTCTTGTCGTGACACGGGTCCAAAATACCAGGCGGACCGATCAGATGAATCAAACCGAGCAGTTGACATTTCTGTTCAAAATAAGTTAGTAACAAGACTACAAATAAGAAAGAAAAGATAACCAAAAAGGCTAGACAATAAGTTAAAACGTGTGGTTGGGATTGGCCAATCACAGCAATTTGGAAGATGCAGGGCAGGGCATTCGTCGCCCTGAGGTTGTGTCGAGTGCTTTCTGCTGCAGGCTCCAGAGACCTCTGATTTAAAAAAGAAATTATAAGGAAACCAAAAACAACCTGACGTTTTCAGAGACAGGCTGCGACTGGCTTGATCCAACTTTGGAACATAATGTGGTTCCTGTGTTCAGCAGTCAACGGCTGAGTGATTGTTTGAGCGGCCAAAATAGAGAAACAGAACAACTTACGACAGACAAACATCGACGGAGAGCGAAGCAGCAACAAATGATAAATGAAGCTTCCCCTTTTCGTTCCGCCTTCCGAGAAAACACCGGGCTTCTCTCTTCTAATAATGTATCACACGTCAGTGTCAGAGAACGGAAAAGGTGGCCTCAGTTTTTCATCTGATAAATCCTCATGTCGGCAAAATGTCGCCAGTAGCCGCGAGTCGGAAACGAAATGATTACTTTGTATCTTCTTTATCTTATGGTAAGACACACGTCATGGAAATGTGTTTTTGAATCCCGTTTCTCGAGTCGGAGCCGACTTTAGAGGCTGCACATCACAAAAATGGCGGCCCGCAACACGTCTCCACACAAAAAATGATTTCACAGCAGCGGCTTGTCTCCTGCGCGTGCATCTCAGGTGGCCGCGCGGTAGGCTGGAGCTCTCGCGTGAGTTCCCGACTGCTCACGAAGGATAACGGCTTAAGGATTCTATAATATTTTACTTTCCCTTATTTCTACTCGTCCCCCCCCTCACCCGAGCCACCAGAAGTGCGAGTACGAGACCGAAAAATGGCGACGGGAGGGCTGGTCCCGCTTTCTGTCTGCACGTCACTGACGCCTGGAGGGGGGTGGAGGGTGGGAGGAGGAAATGGGGGTGGGCGGGTGACGAGACCATGGACTGCCCCCCCTCCACCCCCAGAGTGAAGTGTCAATCATGTTTCCATGACAGCTACAGAACATTTTGTATGACAGACGATAAAGCAGTGATGTTATCATTACAGGGCAAACAACCAGCAATAAATTACAAAATACACTATAGGCTTATTTTCGTATAGCAGCAAGACCCTGTATTAGGTTCCTGCTATGTCTTTTTGCATACGATGTCTAAGTGCAGTTCATAAATATGCAAAAACAAAGTAAACTATTTTTGATTACTTATAGTAACAATACAATTCTAACATTTGTTTCAAAATAAAATAATAATGTTGTATTATGTTCTAATAACAGTAGCAATACCATAAAGTAAAGATACTTGAATAAACATTTAGTCAAGTGCAAGTATGGAGCCTTTTGGTGTGTTAGTTGTTTAGGTTGGATATCCTTTTTTAACGACTTTGTACTTAACTAATCACATATTTTCCTTGTACTTATTTTCTACGTACAATATTCGAATTTTGAATTATTTAGGTGTATAAAGTAATATAAAATTAAAATAATTAAAGTATGCAAAACTGAGTCATTTGGAAAACAACTATGGTCAATCTTAAAATAAAGGCTATTTGATTTGTTCATACTTCCAAGATCCCCTTTTGGTTCCTGTCCTTTACAGTTTAATTTCAATTTTATTACATGTAGCAGGATAAATGAGTGACCGTAGATTTAATTCTTATAACTGATGACAGTTTCACATTCAATCACATCTGACAACTCAATCTTCTCAGACAGGTTCCCTGAGGACACAGGCTGTCCTATAAACGAGCAAATGTACTAATTTTAATCTATATTTATGATGTATTTCTGTGCAGCGTATATTATATATCTTCAGCTTTTCTGTGGCCTCTTGAGTAATTCATATGTTTGAGGTACAGCATGTTTGGTCAGTCAACTGCTATTTCATGCAACCAGTTAAACATTTTACATATTTCCCTATTCTAATTTCCTGTTGTTCTCCTACTTCCCCTCCACTCAATCTCATACTAAGTATTATCTGGCACAGAACTGTGACACATCGATTTGGTGCTCCCCGGCCCACAACACAATATGCTGAAAGGGAGAGAGTGAATTTAAATGGGGGGGGGTAGTGCCTCTGAAGAAGGCTAAATAAAGACGAATACAAACCAAAGAATGCGTTAGAAACACTGATAGAGCATGACAAGCGTTCCAATGTGGCGGGACAACTTCTGCTCATTAATGAAAGTAAAATATATAAAGATGCAGCTCTGTTCCTCTGGATATTGAGGTTTCAGTGAGCATGCTCGTGAGCCTGCAGCTGGCACAGAGCGGCTCTCATCACTGCGGCGCTGTCTGAATGTTAATAGATTCGCACCCACTGGCTCTTAAGGGCTAATGCCTGCCAATTCCCACATTTCCACAAAGACGCAGTGATGCAACACATTGGAAAGACTAAAACAAACAGGGCCTATTCTTCCTCAGGAGTAGAAGCTACAAATGCGGTGTTACTGTGCATTTCCCCAAAATACTTTTTGTTTAATTACACTATGGTTTAATTTGTGATTTTGTTACCAGGGGTCAAAACAAAACAGCTATATTTTCAGGTGGATATATAAATAATTTCATTTTGCCAATATTCCAAAGACACACACTTCATGCAGGATATGAAATAAATAAAAGTATCTGTAACCTCTCAAACATTGTAGGCTTCAAATGTAATGGACACTCTTCAATGTCTCTAAACACCTCCATCTGGTGGATGCATGCATGAAACAATGTGTTTAATCTGAACATAACATCATTTTACAGTGTTTGAACTTTTGCAGGGAGAAATGTCATACACATTGACAGACTGAAAGCTATTCACTTGTAACTAATGGAGAGGTATTGAGAGGTACCTTGAAAATTCCTGCCATCAGAGTATTTTGCTCACTGTGAAAATAAGTGCCCCTGAGGCACAGCTTGGCTATTACTGGGCTCTTACTGGCTGCATGAGAATCCACATTGTGATAGTTTTGAATCAGCAAAGGTTTTAGAGGTGGAGTGAGCTCAGCCGGGTTCATTCCGGGAATTGTCTGCCCCGCCTGGCTGCATGCAGTTCTTAACCTGCCCAATGCGGTTGCACAACTATAAGCTAGGTTTTGATTTATGTTGTGAAATTAAGCTAGGCTCTTTAACATGTTTGGCTTTTCACAGCTGTGTGTCTTCTCACACTCTTAAGACCATTGCCAAAAATATTATGTTAAAAAGACAGGAAGAGCAGAAGTCGTTGTAAAAAAACAGGACAGAGCTCTTTTTTTGTTAAGATAGTTCAATCTAGTTTTGTTGTGTACAAAAGGGGCCTGGGAAAAAAGTTGTTATTCTTTTTCCTTAATGTGTTTTTAGAGAGATAACTTTGGTTGTTTGCAGTGATGAAAGTATGAATTAGTTTGAATAATAACAAGTTATTATTTCTATATAGTACTGTACAATTCCCCCATAATTTTGGCAGAATTACAATGAATGTCCTCTAAAAGCTCAACGCACTGAATGCTGACTCAGTTTGGTAAAAGCAGCCTTGTTCAGTTAGAGATGTCTACCTTTATAGTTCAAATGTCCTAAAATGTTTGGCAAACAATAAATAAATACATTTACCGTTCCAAGGACAAAACTGCATTTGTGACTTTATTTCCTTTTCTGTTTGTGTGCAGAATGAAAAACTATTTTTATCTTTTCATGTAAGTGGGTCCTTCATGAGTACAATTATTAAAAAAAATATGATAGGACAGAAATACTTTATATGGTGGTGGATAACAGTGTACTGGATGTGTGCTGGGGATCCTGTCAGTGCACCGTCCTTTTGAAGCGGTCTCTCTGCACAGCACGGGTCCTCCTCTGTCTGTCTGCGATGCTGCTGCTGAGGCTCTGTTTCAGGGCAGGGAGGACCACCCCAGAGTGAGAGGGTCCGGACCTGGGACAGAACATATAACTTTAACTTTAACTGAGGGGGCCAAGATGGCTTTTTGAGCATGCAGTCAGTGCAAAATGATGGAACAGTTTTCCATAGAAACAGATTTACATACGGCTTTTCGGGAAATGTTTGAAGACCAAGTTTCGGAAATGTCTTTTCTTCTGTGACTTTGCTGACAGGTACAACAAACAAGAGAAACCCTTATCACAACTGTGGTAGTTTTTTTTTAAGGAATCCTATATATTGATGAAGATTACAGTAATAAAATTGTCTGTCACTTTACCGGGTTCCGTCCACAAGGAAGGCCTTGGTCAGGATGTAGTTCTCTGGGGTGATTTTTTTGCTCAAAACAATATCTCTCAGCAATGCCTTCACACGTATGATCTTTAAAGAAACACGGTTGTTATAAAACCATTAAAAATGTCCAAAAAAAATGAGAAAGAAAACAATATAGATGATTATTATGTGATGAAGGGCACTTACTTCTTGAGACTGTAAGCTGTTCGCGTTGTAGAGCTGCCGAATGATGACCTCACATTCCTGCAGGGTGGGGGCTCGCGGCGGATGGGAGGGGTTGCTGTGGATTCGTAGAGGTTGTAATGAGGTGATGAGACCCCCCTTCACCTCTAGGCTGGGCTCCTGCCTGGCACATCCCAGAATGTCGCTGCCATCTCCAAGGCTGCACAAGTAGTCAGTGAGATCACATCATCAATCAATGTTGAAGGCAGTTCAAGACTTCTATTCCATGGCCTTGATTGTAAGGCGATACCAGATGTACCAAATCAAAGTGAATAAAATAATGTATATTTTGCACATTTATTTGACAAATCTAAAATTACTTCGACATCTCTTTTAAATGACTTTTTCAAAAGTTGGCTGCACTACAGTTGAACCAATGGGTCGTTGCTTAAGGCCCCGTCCACACCGAGACGAAACGGAGACGAAAACGAAAACGAACCGAATTCGATATCAAAAAAGTCTTCCGTCCACACGGAATCGGCTCAAGAAATGTACTACATGTACATTTCGAACGTCGAACGTCCACACGAGACCGCTCGACCCGCTGGAGACGCTGTAGTACATATGCCGGGCCTGTAAGTGGCGCTGTACTTCTGCCAAAAGCAGCGAATAAGACCGATGACGATTATTATTATTATTATTATTATTATTATATTATATTATTATTGTTGCTGATGATGGTTGTGGTAGAGGAGCTGTACATTTTGCACTAAAATCTGTATCATGGTCAGTAGCGTCTGGAGCACGAACGCAACCCTGTGATCCGCCATTGTTGTTGTTGTTGGCGAAACGCATCAACAATAACGCGGGGGTGAGAAGGAGAGGTGGGGAGAGGCGGGGCTATGGCGTCATCGTTTTCAGGGAATGAGCGTTTCGTCTCCAGACCTACCCACTTTGGGAGCCGTTATCAAAGTGTATCGGATTCGGGCTCCGAATCCGCGTTTCCGTGACGGCCTCGTGTGGACGAACCGTCTATACCAGGGGTCGGCAACAGGCGGACCGCGGTCCGGATCCGGACCCAGACGCCGACCTATACGGAACCGGACCTATAATCAATACATTAATAGGGGATTTCAATTTTGACGGGGCCATTCTATTTTAACCGCTGCCGACAGGGGGCGAAAGAGACGAGTGAGCGATACAGGGAGAGAAACACAGAAGAAGAGATGAGAGAGCGGCAGAGAGAAGCGGAGAGGAAAGTGAGTAAAGAGAATAATTAGCGATACAGGCAGGGAAGACGGAGAGGAGAGTGAACAGGCGTGTTAGCGGCAGACAGGGAGAGACAAATAATGACACATGGCGCTCTCCAAGAAGAGGAAAGTGGACAGTGAGAACAGAGCTTTTAACCCTGAGTGGACGGACTCATTCATGTTCATCCTGCCCACTGGGAGCACAGAGCCAGTGTGTCTCATTTGTTCATTGACCGTGGCGCTCAAGCAGAATACAAAAATCAAGTAACTGTATTCAGCTCGCGTTATATTTGAAAAACGAGCAATCTGATTACAGTTACTTTCGTAAACCTGAAGTGAATACATTTTGGAATACTTATGGGAATTATTGGTGGAAAAGTTTCCTCATAAAATGTAATAGTCATTACCAGTAGAACTGTGTGCACACTGCACGGCGCTGCAGCGTGTCTGTGAGCGAGAGAGATGCAGCGTGTCTGTGAGGCCCCGCCCCCGCACGCAGATCAGAAAGAGAGATCTCTTTTAAAATATATTGAAAGTTAGAAACGGAGATGGTTCGATAAAATGTGCAAGATAACGTTTATGTAGCATTTCTTTAATGTCGAAATGATGACATTTCATAACGGGATCAAATCAAAGTGAATGGCCTGCTGCTGCTGAATGCATGGGGCAAGTGACTGGAAACAGTTTTAAAAGTTATTACGTCGTTTCAGATAATAAATAATAATGATAATTCATTCTATTTAGGGGCGCCTTTCAAAGCACCCAAGGACACCTGACAATTCATAACATATTCTAAGGAAAGGTTTAAGAGAGTACAAATAATGCAGTCCGGGTGATGTTTTTTATGTGGGGTGCAGATGAGAGGGAGCTGTCCAGAATGACACCAAGATGTTGTGTTTGAGTTGTGCTCTTGATAAGCCATTAAAACAGTAAAATAAGTGTCTCCTGTTCACCAAAACATACCCATCTGTTATGGACAAATAAAGTATTCCAAAAGTATTCTAAAAGTAATCTGAATACGTTACTTTTTTAAGACACGTAACTGTAACTGTATTCGGATTACTTTCAGAGCCATGTATTCAGTATTCAGTAACCGATTACATTTACAAAGTAACCCTCCCAACCCTGATTAAAAGTGCCAAAACGCCACTATGAGACAAAACACAAAGTGTTTGACCAAACATTCCCTCTCAAGTCAGAACTGAGGTCACAAACAATAAGCAGTCTCAGAGCCCAATATGATCAGTCCACCAGGATCAAAATTAAAACTAAATATGGTTCCAGGGCAGGCTAACCGAGGCTAACCAATGAGCACCTGCATGTGTGTATGAGAATGGCCCTGACACCATTTCAGCCCAGATTTAAACTCCTGGCAGGACAAGCTCCAGCTCAATTCTCACACTGAATTAAAACAAAGTGAGTGAGGGACTGCAATATAAGAGGGAAAGAAAGAGGAACTTTAAAACTGTTCAATTGTTTATTTAATTATTTTATTTATTTCTCTATTTTATTTTTAAATGCAGCCCGAGAGGAACATTACACACATCCACAGTATTTACTTTATATCTGTATAGTTCAATGTTCATTGACAATACATATTGTTGTTTATGAATTGTACTTTCTTTATTTGATTGGCAGTCGGTTGTTGATTACACGCAGACGTTGATAAAGCTACAGGCTACTTCAATATATATATCACACTAATTCATAAAGCAAGTTAGACATTTTGATGTTCCGGACCTTTGCATGGGGACATTTTCTCTAACTGGACCTCGTTGAATTTGAGTTGAATACCCCTGGTCTATACGATAGAGAACGTTAGCGGATTCAACTGATATCGTCTCCGTGTGGACGGGGCCTTATAATCCTACACTTAAAGGTGGGGTAGGTAAGTTTGAGAAACCGGCTCGAGATACACTTTTTGTTATATTCCATGGAATGCTCTTAACATCCCGATAGCAATGAATATCTTAAGTGCTTTGACAAAAAATCCATAAAAAAATGTCACCTGTGGAAGCCGTGGTACTGTAAAAAGCACGACCCGGCTAAAATAACTGGATGGCCTACCTGCCTGTCAGCTTTCCATCTGTTCACAAACTTATCTCGTGCCCTCATTGGTCATGTGCACGTTTGTGTGTGTTGGAGGAGGGGCTCTGTAAGGAAGTGGCAGATTTTTTCCGGTTGTGTATTTTCAAATTCTAGCGATCTCGAGCTGGTTTCTCCAAAATTACCTACCCCACCTTTAAGCAAACCTAAATAAGAAATCTAAAAACTAAAATAATCATGAGAGCTAGGAACACTTAATTATGCATTCAACTAATTACAATGTACTTATTTTTCTAAATGTTAGTAAAGAAGACTCCCATACCATTTAATCGAAGAAGCTACGAGCATGGGATTAAAATGGGAACTAATGATATACCTACTTTAGAGTTGACTTTTAAAACAGTGAAATGTGTCAGCATTAAAACCATATGCTCCACACTACTTTGTGAACTGTTTTTCTTCACACGCTGTGGCTGTGGTGCACCATTGACTGTGGTTACAGTATAATCCGTTCTTTGTGAATTACGTTTTCTTACACGCTACTTCACACAAACATTTCACACGCTTAATCGGCAACAGTATATCTATCCCCATTTCACAGTGTGTTCCACCTGAAATGTGCTTAACATTGTATACTTGTTGTCTCATCTCAATATTACATTAGCAATATGAACCAACATGTAATTTTGTATTAGTGTTTTGATATCATTTCATTTAGAGCTGGACAATACAACCAATGTTGAATAGAAATATTGTGAGAGGAGATATTTTTAGTAAAACTATGATAAAACTTGGGCTGAATTACTGTGACACAAACGTATGAGCTTATCAGATGTACCTGTGTGAAAATAAAACATGTTTTGTCAGCACATCTAGGTTATTTTATGATTTGTTTGAAATTCTTAAAACTCTTTAAATCTTATCACACTCGATAATACTGAGGCAGGTAAGCGGTTAAGTATTGAATCAGAATGAAATGTAGAATGCAAAATTTCACCTCAGTGCTTGGTCCTGTGAGGGTCGAGTGTCCTGCAGCGTCTCCTCCAGGTAGAGTCCCGTATGGGCTTCACTTCCCTGAGTGGGGGGTCTGATGCCTCGCCGACTTTGTGTCACTCCTATGAGAAAATAATCAGAATTCCTGTATTAGTCCTACAGCAGGGACATGTCCATCTTTACAGCGAAGGGGACAGTGCAGACAAAAGGGAAAATAAATTAAGTATTGTACATATTCAAGGTAAAAAATAAGTAGCAGCTTTAAGAACGCAAGTAAACAAACATATAAAAGTATTTGCGGCAAGTAAAAAAAAAAAGGACCCATTATTAAGATCATTATAAATTGTTAACTGCTGTGCCCTAAATGTCATCTGTCTTTCACTTGTCCTTTTATATCAGATAGTTACAACTAGAACATTTGAGTTATTTTGCAAATCCAATACCAACGTTTATCATCCCACAGGCCATACGAATGTTAAACACCTGAACTTTTGAAAGAACATACATAGCATTCAACTGTTTGCAACTCATATATATCAATATTCCAATTACTGTATAGACTTTTCTGCACAGTTTCTATTCTATTCTGTTTCTATTATATTTTATTTTATTTTATTTACTTGTACTATTTCATCTGTTTTATTGTGTTGCATTTTCATTGTCATAACTACATTTGTAGCTATACACACATGACAATAAAAGCCTTGAAACTTGAAACAATTAGAATTTTTTTTCTCCACATTCTGAAGCTGCATTTGAACTTTTTGACAATACAACGTTTACATTGTGAGATTTGTCATCTGCCAGAGATTTTGCCATACTGTAAACACCAAGATAATGTCCCTTTAATGACTGGTTGTTTTATATATTTATCTCAGAATGTAAAAGTACATATACTGTGTTAGAATATTTGATCAACATTGTCTACTACTTTCAACTCTTCCAATCTAGCAAGAAACACACAAACAAAATCAACTGTAATCCAGGATCACATCTTACCTTTTCTACAGGACTTGGGAGGCTCCATTATCATCTTATACTGCAACTCTGCAACATTAAAATAGGATTAGTTTGCGACATACTGTAGGGAGGCACACAGGAGGTACAATGTTGAAACACAGTCCCGACATACAGGCGTGTTTCCATGGGGGCCTGAAGGCTGTGACAGTGTGCAGACAGAGAAGGGAGCTTCCTGGTGGGTGGTGAGGTGCATTTATGTGACCTATTCAGTAAAGTGACACTAGATATGTGTCCACCTCCCACTGAGAGACCATCAAAACCCTGGAGTTGCTAGGCGACCACTGTCCCTGGATTGAGTGTCTTTCTTTTCAGCACCCTATCAGTAGATAGTCAGGGAACCCATTAACATCAATTCATTACAAGAAGGGGTTAGACATAACAACAGGAACTTTTAAATGGGAAAATAATAGGGATAAGGATTGTTCTTATTAACTGGCTCTGGGCCATTTGTCCAAAAAGTACCAGTTTTATTGATTATAACATCAATTTACTCTTGGAAACAATAAGGTATAATGTTTCTTCTCACCTTAAACAAATCAACAACTCCTGCAAAGTGAAAGAGGTCAAATTAAAGAGGTCAAACTTTTAGATATTTAGTTTTTCTTTATTTTTATATAATAGTTTTATTACTATTTAATCATGTTTTCCCTTCTGAAAAGCACTTTATAACCAGCTTCAGTTTTGAGAAACGTCTTACTTTACTCTACTGATATTAGCATGGTATATTCTAATGTTGTAGCTAACACAGCATACAATAATTTACAGGACTATGATTCAACTGTCAAACAATTAAACTATTTGTGCTTATCCCAAATTATTAGATGACATATTTAAGTGACCTCGGTTTAAGTAGGCGCTATCGGAAAAAATCGAAATTCTCTGACAGTGTTTCAGCTCACTGTTTTCTTCACCTTTATTCTCCCGTCTGAGATACTCTATCTCTGCATGGAGCTTCTCGAGAGTGTCCTTGTGTTGCTGCTGGAGGAACTGGATATTCCTCCGCATGGACGCGACGTGGGGGTCCGTGTCGCTGTGACAGGACACCTCTGCTGCCCTCCACACTCGTTTGTCGGCTGGCGGGAGGACAGGCTGTGGCTGCAGTTTGTTTGGAGGTAAACGCCGAGGCGAGCAAGGCTTCCCGAGGCGCCCGACCCGGGTCCATTGTGGCAGATGCCGCACCGGCGGAAGGTTATGACTTGACATTGCTAACGAACCATTGTAGCCTCTTTGGCTAGCGGTGACGACCTGTTTCTGCTCGAAGTGTTCCATTAGTAGCCTACCAAGAGAACAAACTAGCACCATCAGCTAACAGTGTTTTCTCTTGCCATTATATTCCAGCGTGGAGTTTAAAACCTACATTGTTGTCTAACTATCTTGTTTCCTAAACTCTGTTGATCGTAAACAGCTGAAGTACCCGTTGCGCTAATTTGACATGAGGCTCCACTCTCACTCACACACAACGTTGCCATGACAACAGCTCAAGTCCATTCTTTGTAGCCCAGAGTTAAAGCTCTCAGGTAAGATCCATTAGTCCCGCCTCCTGTATTAGGATTGGCTGCGGTATGGATATCGTTTAAACACTGACATTTGATTGGTTGAGCTCGTTCATTCAACTCCTGGATCCTGATTCCTGAGTCCTGGATCCTGAGTCCTGGATTTCGATTCGTTGCTGAACCTGTCACTGTGGTCCTGCCTGACTCTCATCATACTACTTCTCTGATGGCTCCCACTCCCACAGGATTGTTCACATCCTCCTGGATTCATCTTCTTACTATAGACACATGCATTTCCAAACATTTGGACTACCTATGTTGTAAATGTATTATCTTTTCAATTTACACACGGCATCTATTGCACGTCTGTCCGTCTTGGGAGAGGGATCCCTCCTCTGTTGCTCTCCCTGAGGTTTCTTCCATTTTTCCCCATTAACTGTGGGGTTTCTTTGGAAGTTTTTCCTTGTACGATGTGAGGGTCCAAGGATAGAGGGTGTCGTATTGTCATACTGATATTCTGTACAAACTGTGAAGTTCACTGAGACAAATGTAACATTTGTGATATTGAGCTATATAAATAAACATTGATTGATTGATTGATAAACTATGGTATATTTACAGATTAGTTGGGGACACTGTAAATGATCACTGTAGTTTCACATCCAAAAACAACAATATTTTTTCTACAATTCAGGCTTAGAGGGAATTGATAGTGCCGGGCAAGTAGATAGCAACAGGTGTTAGAGGCTACATAAATTAATATATTACCTGTTGTAATTGCATTTTGTCACTGGCAATCCAACAGGGAACTGAAGTTAATGTGGCTTCCTGGATGTGAGGAAACAAACACATAAGAGTATGCTTAAGTAAATGACAAGCAGAAGCCTAAAGCTGACATGTGACTCGTAATAGGGTGTCTAACCTTGCCGACACTAGTCCTATATGCACTATCCAAGTTTAATTGGTTTGAGCGTTGGGATTACTAGTTCAGCAACAGGACTGTACCTGTTTTGCCAGCCTACGTAGAACATTATTCCATAGCGGTGAGGATTCATTTAATTTAAATACTTGTAATTGGGATTCTTTCAATCTAAATCAATGCATCTGAGATTTCCAAAATTGGTAGGTTCAAGTTGAAGTGTACAAAATCATACCATTTCCCCAGCTCTAGAGAGGCTTAGGAATTCTAATTTAATCTTCTGTTAAAGTAAACTTAAATATCCATAACCGAGGTGACATGGCAGCAAAGAAAACTCACTTCATCCTAAATAATCTTTACTTTATTCATGTTGCAACTCAAACAGTAAAGGTTACACCACACACAGGGACACTGAGATTGTGTGTTTGTCATACATGACAAGAATAAAATGCTTTGCAACAGTCAGAGACAATATGGAGGATCAGCAGAAAGCCAATTCTTTGGAAATGTAATGATGGTACTGTTCTCTCCATGCCTGCAGCGTCATATATACATTAACAATAACTTAATTTACAATATTTACAGGTAATACAGAAAGTGAAAACACAAAATTAAAACAGGTTTTTTAGCATACAAAACAAATAATACAAATCAATGACCAATCTATTCTGAGAGTGCACACATTACACTTCATTTTATCTTTCTGTGGTACTTTAAACAGGAGCTGGTGGGGCGTCAGTATTTTGTAATAATTATTTCAACGTCTGCACAAATTATCTTTATGGTGCTTTTGAGTCCTACCCAAGATAATCCTTCGAAGGATGGCCAATAGTAATGATTGTAGGGAACATTACAAAGTGACACATGCATCAGTTTTATAAAGGTAAATTGTGATCACCATTACAAAGTGACTGAACTGAACAGCGTGTGTAAGAGACAGAGAGGCTGTAGGAATGTAGACTCACACTAAAATAACACACAAGATGATCTCGGTAGACCTATAAAAATGTACCAAAAAGCGATCTGACAAAAGGCCACAAAGCAAATACACGTTATGTATATTTCGATAAATCTTCACCAAGGAAAAAAACATTTCCTCCGTTCTGTTCTGCTGACAGTGCTACTATACTGGCTTCATAAATAAATATCTTAAGCCCTTTCCACAAATCAATATCATCTTCTCAAATGTTCTCTTAGTCACCATCTTGAATAACAACTCATTCACACCTTGTCACAGAGCAATTGGTTCTGTACAGAACAAATCCCACTGTCACTCAATACACCACATATCATTTCAAACATGCATGCATGCACACAAGCTTATCTTTGACCAACGTTGACCCTTCCCATTTGCCCATGACTTAGGGGAGTAAATGTATCCTCTTGAGATATAGCTCTAAGGTCAATGAAACACAAATATTAAAACACTAGCACTCCAAATCAACAGGTCACTTTTTTAAAATAAAACACAATCGCCAAACTCTGACTACTCCAAACACAACACAATGGATGTAAAACTTTTTTTCAGTGTAAAGTATTTTTTTCCCCTCTTTCTTCTTAAAGCAATCTTTCTAAGGGTTCATAGCTTATATCTCTCTGTCAGCATTCTCACATCTAACACACCTCTAAAACCTTTTGACAGCAACTAAAACACAACTGCAATAAAAGTATGGAATAGAAATCTCTAAATAAGCAAATCTGACTAAAGGTATCTATACAAAAAAAAAAAACAGGACGCGTTTAGCATGTTCCACTCAAAATCGTCCCATACAGTACTTAAACAGTGCAAAAACATTCAGACGCTAAACGCGGGGTTTACAATTGACATAAATTAACAGTTTCTCTCCTTTCAGCACTACATTCAAATGTGATTATACTTGCTGAACTCCGACATGATTGATGAACGACACATAAGGAGACAGAATACGAAGTTGTGTGAAGACATTACCAGCAACGGTAGCAAAAAAAAAAGCTTCTGTATACCTGACGAACACATCCCAGGTTATTGCAACATATTTAGTAAGATTGTATTCAGGGATGCTTACACACCAGCTGGAATAAAAGCTATATTTTGCATGTAGCAGTGTGGTAGTGAGTGTTTTCTGGACCCATCTTCTGCTGTAATACCTGCCACCATTTAAGAAAACTCAATCCCGTTTATATCATTGTTTCAATGATTGATTATTGTCTGTTACATAAGGAAGTATAGAATTGGTAAAGTGTCAAACAGGGATCTTTTTTTCCAAACCAAAGATACTTACAACAAGTTTAAAATAACACAAAAGCAAAACTACAAATATTTTGGCAACAGATTGGTTATACGCTTGTATGCGATTCCTGCCACCAACTGTATTGTTGCTATTTTAAATTTCCTCCAGCAAAGCAAGTAATAATTAGATAAATAACAGTCAAATGAATTCAAGGAAAGCAAACAAGGGGTATAAGACAAATTATGTTTGTTGGCGTATTTTTCTCCAGCAACGGATACGGAAGAAGATACATTTGTCCATAAAGATTTTTGAATATTTTCCCATCTAAGAAAGCTTTCTGTATGTGGATATGCGACTACTTGGCGATAAATGCTCCGGCGGGTGTCATCCTTAGTCCCTTGGAAAAACATTTTCAGCACCAGGAGCAGAGTCCTCTACCCGTAGGCGACAGCGCAGACATTCTTTCACAGCACAAGTGCTTCATGTCCAACACCGGAACAAGTTTAGTGCCGGTGTAAGTCACTGCCACTGTCCAAAGCTTGAGATGAATGGCAAGCCATTAAAAGTCGAGCCGTGAATGTTCAGCAAAAGTGAAGCCTTGTGGTTTTCTTGTGAAATCTAAAGCATTTCTAAGGGAAAACCACAAGATGTGGGTTGAGATTTGATTCGTTGATAATATGCAGGGTGACATCACTCCAAGAAGTCTCAGACACATAGTCCTGACTGCAAAGCTGTGAGGCGCCGCTCAATACACTCCTTACCTGCAGATACAAAAGGAGAACAGTTAAAATGTCTCTTTTTTTCAGCAGGAACATTACAAATAGGCTGATAGACATACTCACATTTGCTAACTCTGAGGATGTCTTCCTGTTCAGTGAGCAGCTGAGACAGACCCTCCATCAGCAGCAGAGCTTTATGGTAACGCAGCACCGACGCCTCCCCCTGGTGGAACATCTCGTCCAGTGCAGCCGTCTGAACCTGACGCCACACCAGGATGCTCAAGTTAATAACCTAAATCTTGACTTTTAACATCCACATGCCTGACAACATATACAAATGTAACCACAGAATGCAAAACCTGTTATGAAACACTAAGAAGCCATTACTTTAGTGGCTTTTCAATATTCGTGTAGAGATAAAGGGAGCACATCACTTTGGAAACAAAAGACTGGAGCCTAAGACAAAGAGACATGATATATTTGGACTTACTTAGATTTAAAAGGAATAATGTCAGATATTTGTATTTAAATAGGCAAAATGACCATTGATTTAGCCTATTGCCCATCTTATATTTTTGCAGTATTAAAACAAATCAGGGATCTGTGGGGACATGGCCGGAAAAAAAGCTGCATTAATGTACTACTTATGTAGAAAATAATAATTCCCACGGCTTTGGTTTTCTATTTAAAGAGGAACATGAGTTGATTTTTATGAGGTAGTCAAAAAAAATGTAACCCCATGTTTGCCAATTCTTTGAGCGTGGATCAGTTTAAAATTAAAAATGGTTAGTTGGGCCTCCCCCAGACCTGTAGTATTGAACACATCTGCAGTAACCACCAGTTCTATACCAGTCCTGGTTGATTTAGCCATACTCTATGTATGGCTAAATCAACCAGGACTGAAATGTAACGATTACCACATTGAAGTTTGTAACACATGCTAGGATTTTTAATTAGCTGGATGTCCACAGATAGAGTATCTAAATAATTCCGCTGTGGCCTGCTGGTCAATAATCCCTTATCTCCTCGGGTTCCCTACTGTCTCATTTTCCGCCCGGCTTACCATCTGCACGGTGTGGCTGAACAGCAGCCGTTCAGCTGTGATGGAGCTGATTTGGTCCATTAGGCGGTGCTTCCTGGAGAAGAAGCGCTCCAGCCGGGTGCTGAGTGAGCGACAGGAAGCCACACTGGACTTGTACAGTTCATTCAGCCTCTTCACAACTGTAGGCAGACAGAGATGTATTTTAATATGCTGTACTTTGAATTTTATGGTAGTACAAATATATATATATTAGAAGTGTTATAAAATGAAATGCCTCATACTTTGTTTGACAGTAGAGGATGGGTAGAGTGTGCCTTGTTTAACTCCCTCCATGGCTGTGTGTAAGGCATTGGACAAGAGCTCTGCAGTCTTAAGGTAGAGAACCAGCTGTTCTGCATGACTGAGGAGAAACACACACACACACACACACATTACTTAACATTCCATTATAAATTGAGAAATGAAATACAATGAAGTCAAATATGTGATAGCAGATGTAGCCGCTATATTTCATCTAAACAACTGGCTAGGGGTGCATACAATATTTCGGACCTAATTTTCATTAGGTAACACACTGCCCATTTTAAAACCTGTTTACAGTGTGTTTTTCCAAAAATATAAAAGTTCATCCTTTTCTTTCCCTGCATTCCAACTCTACAAGCAACCACTGCATGAGTTAGTTGTTTTTTATGTTTATGGCTTCGTTTGATCTGTCGGAAGAAATACATTTATGCTAACAAATCTTGCGTCAGACCAAGCGTCAGATTTGTTTCAGTCAATACTCCAGAGTAGGCTCCATAAATATTGTACTTGACAGGCCTTTTCCCTAATTTCGAACATTAAAAGACGCTTTTCTCCCAGGGTTGTCCACACTTTTAGACGGTATCACTGCCATCAACAAAGAGCCTTACCTCCACTCTCTGCTCAGAGAGCTTATCTGGTCTGCTACCAGGCTCTGGGGCTGATGGAGGGAGGGATGACAAATGTCCCCCTGCTCCTCAAACAACACCACCCCACGGGCTCCGGCCACCTCCATCAGACAGCGGGCGAAATCCAACGTGAAACGCAGGCTTTGCACAGTGTCTGTATGCTCCTGCTGCACTCCGACACACGCAGGGAGAAAAAGGGAGACAGCCACAGAGGGAAAAGAGGAATAATTTAGTTATTTTTAAACAGTGGACTGTTACTTTGACAGACGATGCATTCAGACTGTATTGGTTAAACAAACACAAGCATTAACACGAGACAGCTTGGCAACAGGTAAGGGATATATATTTACTATCTGCAAATTAACACAGATAACCGGCATTAACACACTATGACACTATGATGGAGCAAATAATAAGCATTAACTTCACATCATATATTTTCCATAACTATTTTAGTTTTGTGTGTAAAGGAAATAAAATCTTGGCTGAATCTTTGTGAAACGCCTATGGAGTTAGAGTTTAGCCAATAAAGGAATATTTATAAAAAATGACTTTTTTGATAAGGGTCCCCCCTTAGTCACTGCTGCTTGAACACGTGACCCTATAAGACCACAAATATATTACATTGGACAAATAAGGACGGTTAATAGAGTAAACTACATATCTAAATAAAAAAAGAACAGCTGAACAATGATATGCATTATTTTGTATGACAAAAGAAAACCTAATGGTGCTATTTGGCTGCATTTCATTATTCCACTCTCTGATTCCACCTTAAGAACTGTTTCCATGATTACTTGAACTAAAGACCCTTCAACTTTACAACGCTCGTTTGACATTTCTCTCAGAGTCCACGTTGTCAAGAGGGATTAAAACATTTTGGTTTTGTAAGTCATTGCTGTATAAATACATAGAAAACACAGGATCTAAAAAGGTGACTGCCCTTGCTCTACTTTCCAGAGCTGTGTATAAAACATTCTTCTCACCTCCATCAGCGTCTCCTCAGGCAACTCAGGAGCCTCAAAGGTTACATGAGCGCCCATGTTGGCAGAGATAGGATCAGTGAAACTGTAGCGAGGATTTGGAGGGGCCTCAAAGCCGTCCAGTAAGGTGCCCGTCTGGGGATGGCGGCTAGTGAAGGAAACTGCGGGGCTGATTGAAGTGAACGAGCCTGTAGGGGTCGGAGAATTCGCTTTTTAAATATCAAATGTATTGGATATATCCATTGTTTTTCATCAAATTCCATGCATTTCGATCTCTATACAATAAAACATCAAATCTAAACGGACACCAATTGATAATACATTGAAATAACCGGGTTTTGATTGCATTTCTACCAACTATGTTGCTGTTTTGTTTTTGGCATTCAAACATGTTGCTGACCGCTGTAATGAGTGGAGATGAGTTTCTAGTTAATGATCAACATCTGCCAGGAGTTACATGGATTTTTCTTCATAAGAAACTCTAAGTACCAATTGGAAAATTTGGTATTTGCAAACAACACTTATTTGGGTTATTACTCCCTAAATGTTGCTACATATCTCCACAGTTGAGCCTAATCGAAAAATAAAAATAAAATCAACCTTTTATGCTTGCCTGCATGATACTAAATTAAGTTTCCATGATAGAAAATGAAAGTAATAGCTTTCACAGGACTCTGTTGTATGATGTGCAAAGCATAACACTGAAGCTGCTGAGTGGAATCTGATCCCTGTTGCTTGCAGATATTATGCAGAATTGAGCAGTGCTAGGATGCGCATGTGTTACCTGAGTATTTCCTTTGTCTGGAGGTATGAGGGGGGGTGCTGCCACTGGGGGGAGAGCCCACGGTAAAAACCACCTGTGCTGGGCTGATGGAGCCAGGTGCAAAGGATGCCCCACCACCGGGGGGCACTAGAGGGCAAAAAAGAGCAAAGATTAAAAATAGGAATAGGTATATCATATTATTAGGGATGCTCCGATCGATCGGCCGCCGATCGTTATCGGCCGATATTCACTCTCGGCCGATCGATCGGTGCGCACTATAAAGGCCGATCAGGAGAGCCGATCGCATGACGTAAAACACATGACACTTTTCTCAGTGCGCGGCAAAACAAGCTCGCCAAAATGGCTTCACTAGTCTGGCAGTATTTTAAGGTGTCCGAAAAAGACAATAAAATATGCGGTATGCAACGTGTGTGAAGCAGAAATCCTGCAGCTCTGCCCGCTGTGACGTTCTGTTTATTCTTCACTGTCGGGTCACTCATTACTGGATCAGTGAGCTGCATGAGATACTGACAGGCTGTCAGGAGAGAGAGAGGGAGAGAGAGGAAAAGAGAGCGCTTCCGCTCATTTCTCCCGTGTTATTATCCAAAGTTAATGTAAACTTGAATAATGTAGCCTACTTCATTTGAATGTAATAATTTAGTGGGAATGCTGATACAGCATTCCAACTATATGTTCTTCTACGGACAAAATTATTATTATTCAATGGAGAAAATCTTCAGACTTGAACAATCTTCATGCGACTTCAACTGCTAACTCACTTTTCATTTTGGTCATTTATTCTCATTTTGGTCATTTATTCTCATTTTGGTCATTTATTCTCATTTTGGTCTCTCTCTCTCTCTCTCTCTCTCTCTCTTTCTCTCTCTCTCTTTCTCTCTCTCTCTCTCTCTCTCTCTCTCTCTCTGCCCAAAACCGTTTGGTAACGATGCAGCCATCGACGCATCTAAGCATATTATGGGGTGTCATCAAATGCCGTTGCCATGGCGACAGATCATTCGCCATCAAGTTAGTTCAAAAGTTTGCAGTTCAAATATTCTGCTGCTTTTACTTTCTTTTCTTCACTTATCACACATTCACGCCCCCAGTGTTCATGTATCATTTCAATCTAAGTTCTTCACTTTCTTCTTACACATTACATTTCAGCATAGCAGTTTAGCGTCAGCTTTTCAGCATAAAGCATTCCCACTAGCAATTTCTTCAGGAATTGCATTCTCTAGTTATGTTAGTTGTTGTTTGTGGAAGCGCATCATGTATTGAAAAATGTATCTGAACTTTACGATCCGTTACGATTATAAACTGAAGCAATATAAAAATGAGCCCCATTAACTGAGTTTTAAACATCACTTTAAATGGAAGATCCCCATAGCCCCCACCCACCCTATGATCGGATCGGCGATCGGTATCGGCCGATACTGATTCCGGTGATCGGCAATCGGCCCCAAAATCCCTGATCGGAGCATCCCTACATATTAATAACACTTTTTCATAGTCCTGAAACTGGAAAAGTGCTAAATAATAGGCCACACTGTATTTCATAGAATCTTCTAGACTTCTAGACTAGACTAATGGAAGAAGCCACATAAATAAACACTCATCCTAAATCACATATATATGTTGGTTTATGGTAATCGATAAGAGTTCCTACCGGTTATGTCTATGGCTTTTTCAGAGGTCAGGTTCTCGGAGCTGCCTCTGTCACCCAAGGGTCCACCTGGGCCGAAAGCAGCCATCAGCAGCATGTCAGACAGACGACCTGCACTCTGAGACCTGCACCGGAGAGACAGGAGACACATGGAAGGAAAAAAAACAATAAGAATAAGGCAAAACTCTCTTTAAATATATATATAATTTGTTTTAATAAATGCTTATTTTATTCGTTCCTTTAATTATGTACCTATTGCCTTGCTAGCTGTATTTAACATCCATTCTATCCACCCCATTAGGTTCAATCATAACCATGAGAAAAATGAATTAAATGTGCTACCAAAATGTGATGCAAAGAATAAAAACTAAGATAAGCATGGTTTAAGAATGAAAAAGATAGAAACATTTCAAACATTTTGCAGTCCTGTCCTGTCTTTCCTGTATATGTGGGTCATCATGTTTTTCTGGATACACAGCATCAGTATGGTAAATCTAACAAACAGAAGACAAATATTTAACCTTCCAAAGCCCTTGGCATCATCACTCAGTCTGTGGATGCAGTGGGCAGGCTGGTTGCCCTGTGTACGTGCTTGTTGTCCTGCGTCCCTGAGCTCTGGGGGGGCCGTCCTGCTGCAGGGCGGGCCGAGGACCAGACCTTGCTGTGTCAGGAAGGTCACGAGATTGGTGGAGCTAGGAGCCTTGGGGAATTCAAAAGGAGGGATGGTCTGAGGAGAGAGAAAAGGCAGACAGGGGAGAATCGCCAGAGGTTTGTTTAAGCTGTGTTCCTTTTCTTGTTCAGTGCATCTCAAGAGATTTACGTTCTATTTCAGTAAAGAAGTGCTGACTCACCCTGGAAGGTGAGCCCAGGATGGTGGGGAGGGGGCTACGCTGCATCAGCTCGCTGAGTCTGGGGGACGAGTGCAAAGGGCGGACAGTCATCAGAGTCGTAGAGGGGGCCACCACCGGGTCTGAGTGCTGCTTCCTGATCTTGTGTCTCACACCACCACTGGCGCCCTCCAACAAACAGGGGGCGCTGTGGAGCCGCGTGCCCAGGCCTGCCGACCGCGGCTGAGAAGTCTGCCGAGCTTCGATGAGCTGAGGAGCTGTGGGACAGACCAGTGTTTTTTGTGTTAAGACAGCAGGTGGCATCGCAAAAATGGAATGTCAGACAGGACGACAAAACAAGAAATCCAACAAGAGACAGCGGAGAAAACGGCCACACTCCCCCGCTGCCCTTCTGCATGTCCAGACAGCGATAGACTGTGACAGCATGAGGCACAAACGAGCTACTGGTGGTGACAAGGAGAGCGTTTGTGTAGGAAGTCTGTTCATTTTCTCCATCAATGGAGGCTGGTTCTTTTATTCTCCCTCAATGGTACAGTTTATATAGCCTTTTCTAGTCTTTGCAACCACTCAGAGGGCTTTACAACAACACCACACGTCAAGTCAGCGAGGTCCCCTTCACACACACATTCATACAGAGGCATTTACCCACAGTTGGAGAAATGTGGGGTTTTTGCTCAATGACACTTGGACATGTTGACTGCAGGGGTCGGGGTTTGAAACACTACTTGGTCTACCTCCTAAGCCACAGCCACACAACTTTAAAAACTACTGACCATGTTGAGTCAGAGAAGCCTTCGCAAAACCCTATTTCCCTCTTTCGTTGAAGACTACAAGAAGTCAAACTGGTTTGAAATCCCTGATCGCTCTATTTGATTAGCTTTTAATAAATCAATCAAATGTAATAAATAAAAACTGTAGTATGGAGAAAGCTGTGATATGTATCTATTGATGTGCTACCTTGAGGAGAGAGCTGGAAAGGTCTGGCTCCTCCCAGGGAAAGTCTCCGATTGGTTGCAACTACTGCTTGTCCGTAAGGTGGTGACAGCCCGGGCCGGGCAAAACCCAAAGAGCTTCCGCTGCTGCATCGGCGCACTGGTGGAGACAGCCTGATAACAAAGAGATTATGAGTCACCCCAGCCAATTTAAGATATGGTAATACAAATATATAAATATATATTTGGCAGTGGGACTTGTTTGGGGATACAGACCGTGGGGAGCCGTCCTGTTTCGGAGAGTTGAGGTTCTGCTCCATGCGCTGGTAGTTGTGGACCTGGGTGGGGACTGGGATAGGCAAGGACTGACCGTGGTTTCCATAGCTACCACTGTTGTTACTTCCCGAGAACTCACTGGGCCTGCCAACAACAGTGAGAAGAACAGAGAGTACAGAGGGAAACTGTTAGACATGAGGGTTTATGTGCTTAACACTTTTAACAGGAATGAGTACACCAAATATTTTGGAGAAGAAACATTCTGTTAATGACAAAACTCGTACAATAACTGTGTGTAAAACATTTCAAACACTGCAAGTGTGTGTGGTAGACATGAAATTATTTTAAGGTAAAGACATGTAATTTACAAGGTATCACAGAATTTGATCTTCTTAAACAGTAGCTGTTTAAGAAGGCGTTGTTGCTTCTTCTTCTACCGTTTCTTTTACCAACCATTTTGTTTAAATCTTACAGTGTCTACCACTTGTATCCCTACAGGAAAACATTGAGCTTTGTTCTGTTACCTGACAGGACTTGGAGATCCGCTGTAGGAAGGCGAGTGTGGTGGGGTTTTGACTTGGCTGCACAGACCAGCAGAAGCCAGAAGAGAGCTGATAAAAAGCAATACATTGAATTATGGTCACACAGCTACAGTGAATAATTAAAAAAACAGATAATGACAGTCTTTGAATAAACAATGCTTGCTCCTTACCTGCTGTTCATCAAGCTGTCAGGCAAAACTTTACTCTCACATGGCAACTCTACCGCTGAAAAACAGAAAAAAACATTTAGAAACTGACCAAAAAAGGTGATATAATAATAATATAGGACTATGCACAGCTTCATTTGATAGTTAAGTAGGAATAAATAAATGTGTTCTTACTTGTTAAGTTAGCAGGCACCATAACAAAGTCATCTGTGTCACAGGAGGAGTTCTTGCTGCTGCCGCCCCCTCCAGAGGAGTCCTTGAGGAGAAAACCAGCGGCCTCCTGGGTAGGGGAGGTCAGAGCTTTGGCACGCACATGCTGAACCTCAGCAAGAGACTGCTGCAGGGAAAAGACAGAGAAACTTTAGAAGATAAACTCATGATAAGAGCAAATAGTCTGAGAAGAGCCTTTGTACAGACAGACAAACAATGAGGAGATAATACAGATATAATAAACTCTAACCGGTGGTGAGGCGAGGTGCGAGGTGGAGGAGCTGCTACAGGAGCTGGCCGAGGCAGAGCTGGGGAAGCAGGTCATGGACACGGTAGGAGTTGCTGTAACAAAATGCAACCTCGTGAAACTCAAGGATATGCACAGAGCTGTATGTGGGAAACATTCAATGTGAACAGAACTGTTGTTTGTTTACAAGAAAAGCCTACAGGGCAAATATGAAGTAATAAGTCCATGGTGTTTCATGTTAGACACACTATGTTGTTGGATCTAGTCCTTTATCAGGATAACAGCATCACTTATATGGAAGTGACAGTCTGGGTATTATTTCAATCTTATTTCCAATTTTTTGAAAGAGATCTTTTTGCATGTTTTTATAGAATATAAATAATGTTTATGACTTTAGAAGTGCAAGACATTTTATGTATATATACACAATATAGTCCTGTATTTCAGAGTATTTTCCAACAAAGCTTTATTAAGAAGTGCATTGTTTATTGTTACTTACTCTTTTTCATGGATGAGCTAGCCTCCAGGAAAGGATGAGAAAAGAACTCATCTACCAACAACACAAGAAGAGCTTGAATTAGCAGGAGGAAGTCAAGCAGAGCAGTAATAGGTACATAGATACAGTCGTACACAGGAACATGTGTTACACTTGTTGTTTAATTTAGTAAGCAGTGTAGGTATTTTTCATTGACTAACCAAAGTCCATGCGGTCCTTGTGGTTGCGCTGCAGCAGGCCCAGCAGCAGGTGCCTCAAATGGCTTGAAGTCTCTCTGGGAATGCTGCAAACAAATGAAAATCACAATCAGTGTGTTCTGCTGTGCATGGAAATAACTCAAAAGGTTAAAAAATACAACAGAAGATTGTAATTGCACATACAGCAACAACTCGAGCTTCGCTTTGTTTACTATTTGTTTATACTAGATGTGTATATTCTGAAGAAAATGTAATTAATGATAACCTTTTCAGAACACATATTTCTGCAGGAGACACATTTATTTTGTTAATATCACTGTAGGAACACAAACACTATTTCAAAGCGTATGGGGCCTCTGAAATGTTTAGGTCAGGGTTTCACATTCCCCTGGTTCATTTATTCCGAAGTTGTATCTCAGCAAAGTTTGTAATTTCTTCAGAAATGTTCAATTTAAAAACAATGCAGGACAAAAAAGATAAATGTCACTTTGTTTGTTTTTTTTTGCCATAACTTTTGTCATTAATAAACAACATTTTTCGTCTCACTGTTACTCCTTACTTGGGGCTGAGAGTCTTGTTTTTCTCATAGAACATCCGGAGGTCCTGGGGACTGCTAGCCTGAAAAAAGTCAGAGATGAAACAATAAATGTCTGCTCCAATCATTTGAGTAAATAGACTTTATCTAAAGTTTTAAAATGCAGGTCAATGAAACAAAAAGAGAAACTACTTTCAGAAATGCTGCCGGACCAGTTCAGACATTTTGTAAGATAATATGTGTGTGATCTTTCTAAAAGTCCTTAAAGTTAGCTGCAGCAAATTGCTTGTTTTTTGGAACCAATCACATGATCCAGAGAGAAAAGAGAGTCTGTTTGAGAAAATTAGATAAACTAAACTGTGACAAGATGGAAAACATGTTCGAGTATGATTCAGCATGGCTTTGGGCACTTAATTCTGCTACTATTTTTAACACGACTGCATCTGTTTTCCATCATTTCAATCTTTTTGTCCTCTTGGCAAAACAGGCATACATAAATGTAAAGGCCATTAAAGAAATCCGGATTATTGTCGTTTCATCGTTTATGTAAACAAATGTAAAAAAACATGATCGTAATTGTGTGTTTACCTGAAAAGGAGCCTTTCCAATCAGACACTGAAACACGATGGTTCCTATACTCCACAAGTCAGCTTTGGCATCGTAGGTTTGGGACATGATCACCTCAGGAGCCTGGTGAAGAGAAAAAGGGATTGTGAGACTTTAGGAATGCTTTCATAAACAATTAAAGAGATAAATAAGTTTTAAGGACTGTCTTCGGCCAAGATATTCAAATAAAACATTCTGCATTTTCACATGGAACATTTTAGCAATTATAAAGTTTGTATGGACGAATAACACCTTCAAAGTATCCTTTTTTTGTTTGTAGCAGTTTTCAGAGTGAAAACATAAAAGTCAGTGAATCTGTATTTTCTCAAGCAAAACCTTTGCATATGCTGCCCTTTATTTTCCATCCCATCTCTGCATAACCTACAAAGAGTGCTTACCATGTACATCGGGGACCCGCAGAGCGTCGCCGCCATCATGTTGCTCTGGAGGTACCTGGCAAAGCCGAAGTCCGCTGCGGAGGGAAAATGTGCAGATGCTGAGACTGAACAACAAAAGGAAACAGTTGCAGGAAATAAAAATCCCAAGTGCTTCAAAAAAATATGTATTTATCTGCATGACAACGCAGCACACTGGAGTTTATACCTCCAGGGAGTCGCGGCTGAATAAAACACTTTTGGCTTTCCTCTACATAGACAACAATTTCTGTGTCGCTCATTATATTACATTTTGACACTCGACAAAAGGAAAGATCCTTGAGCATACAGTCCAACAAACCAAAAGAATAATCTTGCAGTAATCCGTCTGCCACCGTGGATGTGCCTGTGTGCCAGTACCTGCTTCAATGTGGGCACAATGAAGTATGAGTCGCTGTGTGTTGGTGTGAATGTGCACGTTTTCCCAGAGTAGTGAGGATAATCACATTCTGCAGTGACTCCAGTCCCACAGGGCAATCAATACTCTCCAAAGGAACAAGAAGTAAACGGCTTAAGGATTAGCAGCAGGGTTTCCAAACCGCCGAACAACACGCACTCGCTCTCTGTGCTCAGTTCATTTCACTTCTCATTACTTGTTTAGGGTCAAATCAGCCATTCTCGCAACTGATGACACATGAATCATATCTGTTCATCTGTCTTGGTGTTTGTTCAATAGTGTTTAATCAGGGGGGGGAATAACATCGCTAAGGGAAAATGTGCAATTATATATATATATATATATATATAATCCAATCAATTTTCTCCAACCAGTTTACTCTTATTATCTTGGTGGAATCAATTACCTTGGGGAAATTATTATTAGGTCCTGTTGCAATAAAATACCCTGAAAAGAGCTTTACTTCAGCGCTGGGATTTACATGTGCTGCATGAGATTCAATTCGGTTTTTTTTGCTCCTTTTTAATGCTTTTCCAATTGAATCCTAATGTAGAAACCACAAGTCTCATCACTGAAATGTGAAAAATCTCAAGAAGTTGACAAATCAAACAACATTTGTGGGAAAATATTCACATGGCATGATGGCCTGTTCTCACACTTTAACACCATGGAACATACCGATCTTGATGCAGGTGTTGTTGGAGTGCGACTTGCGTCCTGCTGGGTAGGAGAGCAGGATGTTCTGGGGCTTGAGGTCCCGGTGGATTATGCCTTTGCCCTGTAGGACCCTCATGGCCCCTGCAATCTGCTGCAGGAAAACCCGGATTGTGTCCTCACTCAGCGTGCCTTTGGCTGCAGGGAAACAAGGTGATGTAAGTGAACTTTTGTATGCTACAAGTGAACAGCATGATTTATTGATGAAGCACTTTTGCAGGTGGGGTTATAGTAGACACATGGGGACTTTTACATAGAAAAACTAATATAATTTGAAAAATCTAACAAATCTTAAAGTCAAATCATGTTATTTGAAAAGACAACATCTCATTTTAACATTTTTTAAATATCTCTCATGTGTATTTCTCGTTCCCAACATGACCCCACTGCCACCTATAGCTCCCCATCTCTTTCTTCCCTCCAGTCATCTCCCTCATCTCACTGTGGTCCAGTATGTTTCTATATGATAGTCCCTCCCTTTTCTAAAATGTCTCTGTGACTCCACCTCACTTCCAGGCGACTTTTTTAAGCCAGACTCAGGCTTGACTAGGGCCAGGAATAAAACGTTTTGACCACAGTGGGAAGTGTAGACAAAAACAGGCAAGCAGAGGCTATAACTAGAATGTGTTCCCTATTTAATCTCTGTGTACCTGGCAGACAAATTTAGCAGCTGGAGCTAAAATGATTCAGCTACACTGGGAGGTTGATGTCTTATACCACTCTACCTACACATACAGATAAGTTGAGTGCACTAGCTAAACAGAGCTTTGAAAATTATGATAAGTGACAAACCAAGGCAGAATTGTAGACCAGAATTCTCCCATTGCGTTAACATGGTGTTGAATATTTGCAAGAGGTGTTGTACTGTGTGTATGTGAAGTATGTCTCATGTATATGTATATATGCCAAGACATAGGAATACAGCAGGGCAGTTTTAAGATGTGTTCTGATAACACAGCATGTCAAAGACTATTTTAAGCCTGAGGTCGTCCAAAGCTCCTCCAGCACCAAATCTGTCTCTGTATTTAAGGCTTTAGATAAAAAAAGGCAGGTTTCTGCGGTCATACAGGAAGGAATTATGGACTGAATGGCAGACTTACAGAGTATTTATTAAAGTAAAGTGGGTCCTTTTTATATGCACTTCTTGGCAGATATAACAAAGCTGAAAAAAAGTCTTTCTCTTCTTCTACTTGATGTCTTGACCGGCAGCTCCTGTCTAAAGATAATAATTTGAGTACTTAGCTTTAATTGGTCACTTGTAGCGTTTTTCATTATAGGAATGTAATATTGTTCTCCTGTTGGGCATTTTGAGTGTTATGATTTATGATCTTGGCTTTGAGACAATAAAAAGAGGCATTTAAAAACTGTTTTTCATACAGAATGAAACCACTTTGTTGCCGACGAGCAACAAAGACGACACTTTCACCATCAGTTCAATAGATTTTTCTACTGAGAAGCACCTGAAGCTTTTAGTAGATTAATAGATGTACTACTTACAGTGTAAATAATCAGCAAGGTCGCCACCATTGCAGTACTAGGAGATAAAGAGGAAATGAAGGAGAGGGAGAAGAAAAGGAACAACATTAGTACACACACAGGTAACACTGAGGGCTGATAGGGAAACTATAAAGCAAAAGAGATCCGAGCAGTGATTTGCTGAAGAGTGATGCGTTTACAGATGTGTACCCTCGCTCTCTTTCATAGCATCAATAGGACTGAGGCTAGGAGAGGTTGTTATGAAAGGTGGGGCTCTGAAAGGCTGCCTCACAAGTCATTTCCTTTTCTAAGAACCAGAGATAAGCATGAAACAATGGAGATAATGAATAGGAGTATGAGAAATGTCATTGCTGTTCATTTCAAGCTATTCTACCTCTGTGATCTCTTTCTTTGATACTGTTGTTTACCAGCACGTTTATATGTTTATGTTTATCTGAAATTGCATATACATTTGACCTGAAGACCATTTTGAAACTCTCTTTAGAAACAACTTGAACATTGTGTCGTTATTACTGTGGAAATGACCTAAACTGTTCATGGTTTGAGGTGAGGAAATTGAGGATGCCGAGTCCATTTCTGACATTTTCAAGAAAATGCCAATATTTGTACTCTCGATTTGGAAGATTTAGGAGACTCTGGATCATTTGGATTGGACAGATTGTGTTTTATTTTTTTATTGTCCACGGTAGAGATAATAATGTTGATTTTGTGCTCTCTATATCAAATAGTCGCAACACTATTCATGCTGTTCAAAATCAGCCCACCTAGAGAACAATTATGGCCACTTTCTGGTTAAAACTGCCATTACTGATCCTGAAAATGTCAGAAATGGACTCCTCAATAACCCCCAAAACCACTGCAAAATTGTCTAAAATCTTTTTTTTAATATTTGTTTACATGCCATTCATTTCAATTAACGCAGCTTATGCTAATTCTGCAAATTGCCCAACATATGCAAGTTAGCATTCTGCAGTTTCTATATGCTGGGGACCCGTACTATATATTTATATCATAAAATGTTGGTGTACTCAACACTTCCGGGTTCACTGTGCTGGCAACTAGACTATAATGTGGACTCTACATTTGGAATCTTATGCATCTGGCATGCAGTGTGAGCCATCTCAGCATGCCAGGGGTTTTGTTGTTGTTCTGTCTGAGCAAGTTTTTCTTCTTAGGTGACAAACATTACATGGATCTTGACAACATGCATTTACAGACAACCCAAGCTGGGTTAACACAAAATATATCAATACTAATAGTATGATAGGTGTAGTTTAAAATACTTAAATGTCAGAACAATAAGATCTAGCATGACAGAAAGTTCTTCTCGCCATGCCTTGTGGGAATGATCAGTATGTATAAAGCGAAATAAATAAACCGTCATGTTGACAGTTGTGTGTTGTTTCCTGGTATTCAAATGGCAACCAGGAAGCTCAAACATTCATAATGCAGTAGTTACAAGATTCACAAACAATATATTACTTGTAACATCTATGCAGTGAAAAACCGAGCAGCATTGGGCTGTTTGACCTAACAGACGTTTACCCCCCCTTAATGCCCGAGGACTCGGCTAATTATAGCCCGGGGCCTGTCAGAGCTGAGACAGTACAGCGCCGAGCAAACAAAGCCAAACAGCACAGCAGCTTACCTCCATTACCAGGTACACTGAGCTGGCAGTTTCCTAAAGAGAGGAGAGATAAGAGAGCTGGGTAAACAAACACATGTCAGGGACAGACAAAGGAGGGGACAGAGGCTACTTGTGCTCAGCCAGGGTTGCAAAAAAAAACTGCTAAGAGAAAAACTGATATTGAGAAATAAAGACAGTCTATAATAAAAAGAGCTACGTTTGTAAAAAAGTAGATCTATCTGGCACTTGGACAAAATACATTTTCTGTGGTTATGGCATACGTTTGGAGCAAATTCAAAAGAAAGCATGCCTGAAGAAATATGAAAACAAATCTACTCTGCCAAGTTCATACTGAGCCAAAAGGTGAATCAGATGTTGGCTCAGCTGTTGACAGCAATATCAAACAATCATGAGCGAGTGAGAGACAGTGAGAAGCAGTGACTGAAGAAAGATTAACTCATAAGCTCCCACAGCAATAATAAGCTATTTACTTACTAACAACTTGGATGTTTTTTTATATTGCACATTTGTGTGGTTGAGAGTTTCCAGCAACTATTTGAACATCTGTTATCAATTCCCTTCTATCCTCAGACAACCTGGCAGAAGTTGTGTAAAATAAAAACACGGTGCTGCCTGAGTGGCTGCTTGAAAAGTGCTCTTATCACATGGCAACAGATGACTGCGGACCCTCGCTCTGACCTCATCTCAGTATCATGTCGAGTCAACCAGTCAGAGGCCAGCGTGTTTTCTATAGTTCTGCTGAGTCAGGCGTTTTGAAATTGGTTGTCTTTGGCCTTACTGAAGCTGGACGGCGACCAAACACCCGCTTTCAGTCAAAGAAACAACCGTCTGGTTTCTACTGGCTGTCACTCTAACAGGGTGGCAATGCAGCAGCAAACTTCTGTTATGATTAAAAGTTTGGCGTTTCGTTTGAAATGTATCTTCATCTTATGCTAGGACTTGCTTTACAATACTGAGAAAGCCAGGTCCCGTTTCACAAGGTGGAGTATCCTCAGATAGACAGCAAAGTCTTAGTCTGTTCCCCTAAGTGTGAAATTGTTCATCTAAATACCTGCATTATTGTTGATTTATAACAATAACAAATGTTTTTCCCTAACCCTTTGCCTACGAAAATGTCAAACGTTTTTTTAACTTATGATGAGAAAAAAGCAGAACATCTTTATAATTATTATCATTTATATAGTTAAAAAAGGATAATTTGGGGGATTTTTTGCTCTTGCACAAAACCTACAAAATAGGAAGTAAAATATGTTTGGTTCTATAATGTTCAACAAAACCATTATTTGACTCCGAAACCACATTTTAAGTCGTTTAAGATAAAGACAATTAGATATGTAGAGCAGTACAAAGTAGTACAAAGTAAAATACATGTCTCTGGCGTCCAGTGTTTTCAGTTTCCTCCTGACCTAATTAGCTAACACGATCCCCTGCTCCGAACATCCACTCTGTCTGCGGTGCAACAACAAACTGTTGTGTTAGCTCAGAAAATTCCCATCGACAGAGAGGTGCCACTGTGAGTCAGTGTAGAGATAAGAGAGGGACATACTTTTGCCATTAAAACCACTTGCAAAGTTTTTCTTAGAGCTACTAATAAAAGGCCCTTGGGAGATGCTACAAAGTGACTGGAGCTAGTAGTGCTCAGCATATAAATGCATGCGTCATCAGTCTTAACTTTTTTTATAACCTATTTTGCATGATGACTAAGGCCTCTGAATAAAGGAAATAAGGATGAAAGTTCAATTAAAAGCAGTGAAATGTACAGGTCACATAATGAAGCTAACAATATCTGCTCTCATCCAGACTTAATGTAGGGTTTTAAATATAAGATTTCATGAGATAAAAATACATTAATAAAGCCCATTTGGATCTGGGTTTGAATCCGACCCATGACTCTTTGCTGCATGTAATCCCCCCTCTCTCCTCCTTTCTAAAAGCCCCCCAAAAACATATTTTCCAAAGAAAAACAGAAGTAAATATAACTGCAATATATCAAAGCTTGTGACACACAGTGACAGCAGCAACTACCGGTATGTAAAATGTATCAAAAGTGACAGTAATGCAACAGGATGTATGTTGCTGCAACACATCTCATTGTACAATGTAGTGTTGTCAGATGTTATAATAAGAATAATCTGCAGATTTTTTTAAGCAGATGGCAGCGTATTAGCCTCAGAGCTGGGTTGCGATGTCTAAATGATCTGACAGGTGTTGTCACAGTGAGCTTCACACTGGTTTCTACGCTGCAGGCAAGAACATGGCTGAGACTGTGAATTCTTATTCATCACCTTACGATGCAACACCTGCCTAGTCTGGCGCTGAGCTGAGAGGAGTATTAATATCTGCACATGTACACATGCATAGGTTTTATTGGAGCTTAACACCTCCTCTAGGCATCTGGCTCGTATCTGGAAAATGTGGCTACATGTCTGTTTCAATAAGTAGGCAAGTAAAATGTTAAGATGCTACACTTCCCAGAAAGTCAGGGAGAACAGCAGAAAGCCTATTTGACTGTAGACAGAAGGTCAACTAAGATTTATAAAAAAGATCTAATTGTGATGAATCATTATGGAAATTAAGGTATGATTTACAAATATTGGGGGTATTGATCATTTTTGCATCATTATTCTCATTATCAATGAAGGATTTTTTGTAAAATGATCATGGTGTGATTGAAGAGGATCTGTACCAAACATAGATATTTTTGTAAGTCGTAGGAGTATGAATTTCGTTTTTTAAGCCACGACTTTTATTTAAATCTTAATAATTGTACACATATTTTGCCTGTATGAATATTGCACTTTGTGTGATTTGGTGATTGCATTAGTCCATATTGCGATGTTGGTTACTGTGCAACCCAAATGTCAACACGCAAGATGCTCAACAGACCACAAAGTCAGAAATATTAACTCAACCTTTACAAAGATATTCATTACACGAAAGAGTCAACTGAAACATGCCTGAGCGTTTTTTTTTTTAGAACAAACAAATGTTGCAAAGCCTCATTTAACAAGAAGGGAAAACAAAACTGTTCAAGCTGCATGAGACAGAAGTGGGTCATGTGGAACATCCAACAGCCCATCTGCTCTGTTTCGTGAGCACACACTGAAGGGGAAAGTGGGACAATAAGAGGTGTGATAATCATGTAGCCAAACACAGGCCTAAACACTGTGCAATCAGCCTGATACCATCTGTAAATGTAGTCAAACATACCTGAAAGTCCAGTAAAGCAACAATGTTCTCATGTTTCAGCTCCTGCAGAAAATGACACACTGAAAATCAATATTTGGATGGCGTTTGTTTATTTAGTTTACATGTTTAACCTGAAAGAGATGTCTACTTTGACTTGATCTTTCCAGCTCTACTAAAATGTTGTTTTATCAAATACTTTATAGAACCTTGAAATAACATGGTTACACATTTATTTTGAGAAATGGCAGAGTACTTGAGAAATAAACCCCTGCTGGTGAGGACAGAAAGTGTCAATCAGGTCTAAGAAATGTGGTCTCAAACAAACAAACAAACAGGTGCTATAATCATCCATCAGAATACAGATTATTTCCTAGATTAATCACTCCGTTTTAAATGTTGGTAAATTGTAAAATATGCCCATTAAAGATTATCCCAAAATCCAAAGTGGAATCCTGTTTTGTATGACTATCATTCAATGATGAAGAAAACAATTAAATCTAGATATTTGAGGAGCTGCACGTTTGGCTAGTTTTGGATTAAGATTTTATCAAATGATAAATCATTTCAGCTTTACTTCTGAGTTACCTTCAGTATTTTGATCTCTTTCCCCAGCAGTGTCTGGGATTTGGCCAAGTTCTTCTTGTTTATGCACTTCACTGCCACCTCCCAGTCATGTTTCTAGAAGGAAACACAACAAAAAAACATTTTTGGTCAAATAAATGCAACGCATCATGTGTTGTATGTGTTACACTGCACCTTTGTTTGGTATATAAAGAGCTTCTGATCTGCACTATAGTACAACTGTCAGCTTCAGTCAGTTCATACAGTAAATTAGTTAAATGTTCCTGATAGATTGGGTCATTTATAAAAGAAAGGTAATTTCCCACAACCAAATGCAACTTCCCTGCCGGTGTTTTTCCTCAACTGACAGCATGTTCTAATGTTTTGCATTATGTATGCCTTGCAATTTGGGTTATTAGATGCCATAGTCCTCTGTTATTATGGATGACATATTGATCTGTGTGCCAATTTACTAATGAAGACAGGCCTATATTTCCCCGTGGGTGTATTATCTGACTTAGCAGATGTGAAATATTGCATTAGCACTGTGTAATGAAATGAATGCAAAGCTATTATAATGTATACTCTTTCCTTCCAGGTTTAGGACATGTCTCATCATGTTCTTTACTGGTCTCAGTGTGGAGCTTTCTAATGGAAACAAGTGCCTGCTGCTCTATATTTAGCCAGGATTAAGGATGTGCATCATCTGCCAAACCAGACACAAAATAAAGATTATCACAAAGGAAATGTCCGTGCATTAAGAGACGGTGTTTGCATTCATTTAAAAAGTATTTGATTCGTTTCTTCATTAACTGCCTGTTATTTTATGGAACATCCTGTCCGTGCTCCCAGGCCTCTTAAGGCCGTACAATGAAAACAAATACAACAGATGGCCAATTAAACGAGATTCACGGCTAACAATAGAACCAAACCACCTCGTTATGTTTGCAATGGAGGGCTAAGTGTATATATGTATTTGTATGTAATACCAATAAAAGTCAAGGAAAATACTCACTTCTCGGTGTCTGCCTTTGAAAACGACAGCAAATGCGCCATGTCCTATTAGGTCCTTCCGACTGAACTCAAATTTCCCCACCGTCTCCATATTGTGCCAAATTGTGTTTTTTATACTGATTACAGGAGGATAGAATGACCAGGAGGCCTCAGGTCAGCCTTCTGGATATCAAGTGCTCCTTTCTCCTCTGTCAAGTAGGGGCAGCAGCAGGGATATTCACCCCCTCTCAGACTCGCCAGGAGCTGCCTTCCTGACAACAAACTGTCCTCTTCTCTCATGTTAGCACGCACACGTAATGGAGTTTAACTCCTAACAAAGCTGTATAGTGTTTCACATCGCTGTCGACGTGACCAACACGAAGTGAGCGAACTTAAAGAGAATCGGAGTCCTTGTTGTTGCAGCTGTCTCTGACGTGCCACCTTAAAAAGGCAGCTCGCTGCGTTTTGTTTATATACAGGGCAGGGGTTCCTGTCTTCTGTCGTCTGAGGCGGTTTGAAGCGTAAATACGGCAAAGCAAACGCTGGCTGTGCACTCAAAACAAGCGTACAATGTCCAATAGTGAGAAAATATTGTAAATATTCCCGTTATGTACGTGCAATTCGCAGCTGACTCGGCAAAAGTCGTAGCATCGATGGTCCCAACAAAGCAGACGGCGACGAGCCTCTGCAACAGTGCGCATGCGCGGAGCCTACTACAGCTGTAGATGACGGCAGGCTCCATGGCTTTATTTACACAGTCTATGGTCCACAGTCATAAACGTGTTAAGAAGCGTTTTTAAAGTGTTTTGCTAGGTTAAATTATTTTATGATACAGTAAACGCCTTAGGCTTACGTAGGAAAGAAAAAATATATATATTGCTGAATAGTCTTGGATATAGTCATTGAGATAACAAACAACATTAGAATGACCCATAGTCCCTTAATGTACCTTTTTTTATGGTGCCCTCACAACTAATTTAGTATTTAACTGAACACTAGTTGAGAAAAGGACTATTATAATCATCATCATAATCATCATTGGCTGTGGAGCAAAGTGTTCAACACCAGACCTTCAGTCCCATTATTTGTATGTTTCTCTTAGAATTTTTCATTTGTATGAGATTGAATGGGTTCATGCATTTCTGAAAAAACGTATTTAGCATATAGTGTCCTTAGAAGTAAGTCCTTTCACAGTTCAGTGGAAATGACAAATGTGCTCACAATTCCAACAAAAAAGAATGTGGTATGAATTTAAATCACATTATTCCAGCGTACATTTCATAGCCTTGTGCAGTTGATTATATGTGTGTTTCTTTACATAACACGTCCTTGTAACAGCATTTTATAATTGTATACATTTAAAGGTCCCATGTCATGCTTTTCCGGTTATTACCCATCCCCTTGTGTGTTATGAAGGTTTGTATGCATGTAAACGGTCTGCAAAGTCACAAACCCTCAAAGTACACCCTGTAGCGAGTAAAACTCTAACACAGAAAAGACCTGTCTATGCTGCCCCAGAACGCCTCGTTGGAGATTTCTCTTTTTCTTCCTGGGTACAGTGACGTGCCCATACCCAAATGGACCCACGGACCAATCCGTGGAGCCATTACGTTACGTCCGCGGAGCCGTTCCTCACACACACACACATTCAATCTTTTCTCAGCTGCAGCTCCGCCGATTTCTCCTCCCTGAGACGGCGGAACGCGGCGAGGCTGTGAGTCGGTGTGTGAGCACAAACACAAACTCCCAGCCAGGCTGCGGGTGTGTGTGTTCGGGCTGGTTTCGGGCTGGGTTTCGCTGTCTCGCAGACGGCCACTGGGCTCATAGGGAGGGGGGGGCAGGAGCTCCAACAAGCCGTTTAGGACAGAGAGTGAATACACATACTATACAGAGATGCTGTATACGAGAAACCAATGTGATTTTGGAAAATTGCACAATATAAATCTATTTTAGTATACCTCAACAATGGAATTATGATCAGTAGAAATGGCCATGACATGGGACCTTTAAATAATCTTTCTTCTTTGAATCCACTCCATCCTGTATGCAAGTACCAGAGGGGGGCGGTAGAGGACTGCAATACAACAGAGTGTCTCTCTATGGTACTGTGATCAGGTTGTTCATCATTTTTAAGCACTGGTTTGAAAATGTCAGGGAAACAGTTCATTAAGTCATAATGTAATATTTGTTCTCAGTCTTTAGTATGACTGTTCCTTCAACATTTGATATACAACGATAACCACTCTGGGCATGTAATGTTATCGGTGACAGTATCATTAAAATGAATCATGAAATACAGGTTACCTGGACACATTGTCTGACAATTCAAATGATTTGTGAATTATATTTGTAGCTGTTTTGACACTCGTGGGAGGCGGTAAGATCACATCCCACTCAGCCACTCTGGTATTAAAGAGCTATTGTATCTCAGTTGATTACAAGTTAAATGTCAGCCAGTTATTATATAATACTGGTGCAGCACTTAAAAAAAATACTGGTGATGGCTGGCATGAATCAGGAATAGTGGTTTTCCTGAGCCAAGTATCCAGCTCTTTCACCTGCTAACAACCGACAGCTAGGCTGAGGCTGTCATGTATTGTTAAATGAGTTTTCTACTACTCTTCAGTGTGTTTCACAGTGTCAAAAAGTTTGACTAAATAGGGCAGTTGGTGTATTTTGCTGTGAGCTGCCTAGCAGCCACCATCACAGGTGTCCACTCAGCATGGGTTTGGCTCTGGGTTTTAATATTTTAGCTCTGCTCTGTGGTTCAGTCAAAATGATTGATCGGTGCTTCATGGACCACATTAGGGTCTCCGTGCTGGTGACAGTTGGTACGAAAGCCTTAAGGTATTCACTCTAGTTAGAGAGAAGACACCTTAGCCAGCAGTGTCCCAATATACTTGCACATGCAAACTTAATGTAAGTTGTTAAATAAAAGTTTGACACAAAATAATCATCATCATAGTCTGTATAGCTGATCACGTCAATTCAAGGTCATAAAGGTCTGTTTTGTCAAGGCAAACTGTGTAATGCATTTAATGATGTTTAACCACTTATGATTTCTCAAGGACAACTGCACATAAACCTTTTACGCACACAAAGTAATATCATCCCATTTGCTTAAATAGATTCTTGCAAAAGCCCAATCAGACATTTTCCCCTTTATTCTACCTAATTTTTGCTGTATATAAATATATTTCATATATAAAAATCATGGTCCCACCAAAGTTTGATCAACAATGTAGGATTTATATTGTCTTTTTGTTAAAAATAGGAGATGGTGTTTGTCAATCATACCATTGCTCGATTCAGTCAACACAATTCCTACCTGTTGAGAAGAATTGTGTTTTCTTCTGTAAAGAATACTTCTTCTGTCGTCTGTTCACTTTTTCTTTTGTGAGCAAATCAATACCAACATCTGATGTGCAAACATAAGCTCTTTTTCTATACTGTATAGCCCTTTTCTGTGTTTCTCTTCACATTTTATATTTTATATATTTTTTCCTATGAGGAACTTCATCTCCTTGACCGAGGCTAGAGGGCAGCTGCCTCCTTCAAGGACACTACTTTCCACTTAGCTAATATCGAGTGGTATGGCACTGTGCCCTGCTCATATTTTCAGCCTAACACCAAGCTATATACTACCCACTTGGTTAAAATGTTGCACAGCTCAATGGTGGCCAATTCTTTGATGGATACAGATCTTGCCATGAAGGTCACTGCTTTTTCCAACCCATCTCCGCACTGAAATGAACTTTAAAGACTTGATCAGCATAATTGTTTTGTCTGCATGCTGCATTGCTATACTCCAGCGTGTGATCTTCGCCAATAGGTCAAGCCAGATAATTAAACCACAAAGCGGAGGGAAATTCAATACACTCTATTACAACTGAGGGCGCCAAGGACTCAGGGGAGACTTTGGTATTCATAGACTGGATTTAAAGATTTTCTAAAGCATCAAGCAGCTCTAACTCTCAGTGGAAATACACGTCTTTAAATGTATCATTGTTGATTTATTACAGACCAGTTAAATAAAGAGCTGCTAAGTAAAGGAACACCCTGATAAACGTTTTTAAACTACTTATCATTCGTATTCACCATAAACCTAGAATATAATTAAAGACTGTATGTGGACTGAGTAACATGTTCCTAATCCCAGCCACTTCATGATCCACCATGCAAACCAACTGCAGAATGTGTAATGCTAGTAGCAGCTAACGTAGCCTTATCATAACTACACAAGAAGAGGGGCGAAGTGTGACTTGTGGTAAAATGCCAATGTCCAAGGAAATAGGTGATGGTCGCCTCAAGATCAATTCACTTTGGGGGGTTTCATTCTGCACTGTTGGGTCAGACTTAAAGTTGTGGATAGCCTACCAGTAGAATGAATCAGCAACCAATCAGAAACAGATCGCTTTGACTTCTGTGACCTTGACCCATGTTGAAAATATGCATCATCGCTGCAGAAAAGTGTACATTTGGTAACTTCAGCAATGCTTGGTGTGATTTGCCCTCAAGCCCCATGCATAGAGAAACTTTAGTAACCTCCTTCGTTTTGCACGACTGATGAGGCACGTTCTACTTGTGACCTGTTGGAAAATAAATGAGAACGGAAGGTTTTAGAAAGTTGGGAGTTGGTGTTTTATCTCAAACGGATTGAAGGCCTCGGGGGCATTTCACAGTCATCACCTGATAAAAAGTGTCAGTTTTCCTCACCAGAGAACGGCCAGACTGACAGCGCAGGAGATCAGGAGTCTCTGCTCTCATCATCTGACCTGTGCTTTGCTCTTTTTTTTTTTATTCTGTTGCTCACTTTGCCATAATAAGATCAAGAGTGTCCGCTCTACTTCAGCAGAATATTGATGAACACACTGACATTAGGTGTAGGGTATCAAAACTAAAACGGAGGATAAATCAATATTCTTTATATTTTGACAGCTCTACAGCTAATACACACATACTTGAATACCCACATGTCATTATAGCTTTATACATTATACTTATACTCTGTGTCTTTCATTTTTGCAGGTCCACATGTCTTCCATCAAGGTGAACCTTCCATGTCTCCCTGTCCCATCAGATAAAAAAAATGATGAGATGATGCTTTTGCTCAAACTTTGGTCTAAGTAGACGTGATCGGTTACACCCTTCCTTCCTGTCAATTTCCGTAAACTTATTTGGGCAAGAGTTGAATTCAATATGACCTTTTCAGGCATGTGATGGCAGAGGGCTGCCAGAGCCTTGTCTCACAAATCTGACGGATGATTCTCTCTCCATGCAAGCTAGAACCCACTCATTCTGCCGACCCTCTGCAACAACTCAGAGCTGAGAGCAGAGCGATTGAATAGTTGTGCTTTGATGCGTGGACACACACAGGGACATATTAGCACTTCCTCTGCACAGACTAGTGGTGTTAAGTTTGTGAGTTTGGCATCTGTCTGAGAAGGGGCTAGCAACATTACATAAAAATGGTTGAAAACTTTTCTTCCCTTAACAATCTTTTTGAAATGTATTTACTTCACTCCAGATGTTACGCACAACACTCAAGTGCCTTTTAGAACTCTCTGTTTGCCTCTTCTATCTAAATTATTCTATTTTTTTGCAATTTATGTTCTTTAGACCTCATGCTAAAAGCCACTTCATCACCACAGCTCTTCCAGTGGTCTCTAGGGTTCA